AGAAATAAAATAATAAGAAATGCTGGCAAGTTCTAGGGAATAAAGAACCTTTTACATTGTTGGTGGGAGTGCAAACCAGTACTACCACTATGAAAACCGGTATGGAGACTCCTCAAAAACTATAACGAGAAATTCCATTTGAGTAATCCCAGCATAACCATGTTTACAGTGGCAAATTCATAATAGTTAAATGTTATAAACAGCCTGTGTGTCCACCATCAGAAAAATGTATAAAGAAAAGGTGGTATTTACCCACAATGAAGTACTACTTTGCCATAAGGAAAGCTAAACCTGAGTCATGTGTAGGAAAATTAATGCATCTTGAGACCATAATGTTAGGTGAAATAAATGAGACGCGCAAGCTTAAGTATTATATGGTGTCTTTTATATGAGAAACCCAAACTATAAATGATAAAGCAAAATAAAAGACAGATAATAGGGAGTGGGGAGATAGGGCTTTCTCAGACGGGAGGGAGGAGGATGAGAGATGGTCGGAGAGGAGGGCGGAAGGGGAAAGGGCTGAGGAAGAATTAAGATGTGCTCTGAGCACGCACCAGCTCCAAAGGAGGAATGTAAACATTACGTACTACACACAGGTACTAATATAACAAACACACAAACACGGGACACAGGTCCCGTGCCAAGCAGCGTCTGGGGTTGCCTCACTGGGCTTGGGCCAAGAGAAAACACTCCTTCTCCCCTGCTCCGGAGTGGTGGGACTTACAGCAGAGCTAACTTCCACAAAACCCAAAACTTCTCTGCAACCTTAAGCTTCCTGTCCTAACTCTTGACTTTAGAAGCGGGGGCTGGCCCTGGCTTGAAACGTGAGTATCCCCCTGGAAATGGGGGCCATGGCCTCCTTGTCCTGGGCCCACGCTGAAAGCGAAACTAAAATTGTTCCTCCTAATACCCTGTTGAGTCACTCTTTCATCCTCTGCCAAAATCATGCACAGAAAAGCCAACCAAATATTTCTGCCATACGACAAAGAAACAAACGGAACGTTTGTCTAATTGTCTACTCTACTTTCTGAATGCAGATTCACGTTCAACTTCAGACTCAAAAGTTGTGAACTTGTACTCCTAGCGGGAGAAGGATGCCTCCTTTGTTCACCCTCTCGCCCTTCTCTTAACCACAGCTCCTCCGGAGATTTGTTTGGTTGTTTCTCTCTCACTGAATTCAACAGAAAATAAAACAAGAGCAGCATTGTTGAGTTTTCCAGAAAACACCAATCATCTGACGTCAGCCTGCCCAAAGGTTGCGAACACCCCAGGGCGATCTCTGACAGCACCTCTGGGGCAGAGCAAGCCCAGAGACCTACTTAGGGGCAGGGTTCAGATTTGCAGGGGTTTTTTTTAACCTTCTTGTTTTCTGATGATCACTACTAGTTGTTTAGAAAGAAAGAAAGAAAGAAAGAAGGAAAGACAGACCCCTCTTCTTTTCTATGCTTGATCTTAGTCAAAAGGCCAAGAAGCGATAACCTCTTTTTCTAGACCCTGCTTTGTTACAGGTGAGGCTTGATGAGACTCTGCCAAGGCAAGTGTACCCCACCTGCACGCATGTATTTCTTCAGAGCCAGGTGTTAATAGCTTCCCAAAGTCCTGTGATAAACACAAGCAACAACCCAGACACTGTAGTTCAGAAAGTAGCAGAAGTTTAGTACTTAGTTGCTCAAAACACAGTTGTTGTCAGAGAATTTCAGAAGCCCCTCTCTATGCAGGCACATCTGTGCCCCTCACTATAGGATAAGATCAAGTGTGCCGGAAGTTTAGGGGAATCAGCCAAACTCCAAGGGATGTGGCCTGGCAAACTCCTGGACTGCATTTAATCAGAGGCCGTGAGCCTCAATCTAAACTTCTGCTGGCAATTTTTGTAATTATATTGGCACACACATGTTTCCATTTCAATAATAAAGCCACAAAGATCCTTATGTTCACAGATGAATCTTTAATATTGCAAAAGATAGTATGCCAATAGAAGCTCAAAAATTCCCAACGGGGGCATGGCTCCCCCACTGTCCAGGGCTGGTCAGCATGCGGCCCAGCTGGTGCTGATAGCTCTCCGCTGCCAGCTCCCTTCCTTCATGCAAACCACAGCTCTCCACACCCACTGCTCACCCAGTTTTCATCCAGCCCAGCTGAGAATGCTGGCCTGCAGAGGTGGACGGGGTGCCTGGGCTAGGCCATCAGGGCTGGGAGGTCCACATTGTTTCCGGGAGTTTTTGCCCACAGAATGAATTCAGTATGTTTGTATAAGGAAAGTAGGATTAAAACAACTAAAATAATTTCTGTTCCTCTTATTACAGCAAAACAGACTGAACACTAAGCACGGTTTATAAATTCTAAGTGTATGATCCCAGACAGGCGCCACAGCCATGAATGCCAAGGGAACATAAATTAAGTTAAATGGCATAGTCAAATATACATCAAATTTAATGATACGTATTTAACGATAGGCATAATCGCAGTGTTAGTCCAGCTAGATGGGGGGGGGGGGTTTTGCTGGAAATAAATTGTACCAACTTCACAGAGTCAGCTGCCTCTGATAACCACCCAGCCTTAACCTGATTCCAGCTCCCCAAGAACAAAGGAGGACTCCTCTCCTCTCCTGTCCTCTCCCCTCCTCTCCTCCCCTCCCCTCCCCTCCCCTCCCCTCCTCTCCTCCCCTCCCCTCCCCTCCCCTCCCCTCCCCTCCTCTCCTCTCCTCCCCTCCCCTCCCCTTCCCTCCTCTCCTCTCCTCTCCTCTCCTCTCCTCTCCTCTCCTCTCCTCTCCTCTCCTCTCCTCTTCCATCGGGAGGCCTCAGAACAGGCTGGGAATGTGAAGTAAAGGCCTCTCTGAAATAAAGCTACCAGAAGGGACTCTTTTTATGGCAAAACCTCCGCACCTGGCAGAGCGTCAAGGACAATTTGTTAAAATTACGACCTCTGTGAAGATGGAGTGTTTGTGTGATGAGGGAGATTTGGCATGGCAGTGTGAAAAAGGCTTGGAAATTTACCCCAAGTGCATACTGGTTAGACGGTTTGCTCTCCTAAATCTAGTGCCCAAGGAAATGGGAGTTTTAAGAACTTCTGAGTTCCTACAGAACAGGGGAACATGAATTAGAGCCTCTCCCAACCACATTTCTTCAGTAGCAGTTGCTTTGAAGACAGGCTCTACTCTATCTTTTCTTCTAGAACCTTCATCTTTTCAGAGCTGGGTGAGCCAGCAGCATGGATATGAGATCCACCGAGGTCTGGCCTGGTGAGCCAGCCCCACCCAGGACTGTTATGTTTGGATTGGGGGTGGGCGGGTATAACAATGCTCACAGCTGGTTTAGGAGCTGTGCTTGGTGCCAGCTGCACCCAGGAGGAATTTTAGGGTGCATTCCAAAACGGGAAACACAAAACTTTCCACCCAGCTATAACCATTCAAGAATATGTGAAGAAAGTTTCCATCCTATCTGTTATAAATGACCCAGGGAAGTTCTTCCAGAACAGTAAACACAGGTGACACCTCTACTCATTTTTATTGATAATCTGGTCCTGTTCAAATGACAGCCCATAAAAGACGAAGAAACACCCCCACACACACACACTTACTTTGGAGTATTTGATCATTTCCAGAATAATCATCTCTCTGTGAATCACACAGTATGTGTTGATCTAATCAAGGGACTAAACCACACAGGGCACGGGAAGAAGCTTTTTGTGGACAGATGTTTTGTCAGATGAAAGAAAGAAGGGCCCCAAAATGACTTTCCCGAAAAATGAAAATAGTATGTGCAGGTAAAGTATTATTCACACAGGCAGGAGGTCTCACAGAATCACGAGGCTCAGAAGGGGTACACTATGGGATTAAAGATAGCACATTAGAGTCTACAAAACAGCACACATCAGGAAGAGTAAAATAATAACTGGAAGAAAAGCTTATACATCCAATTACAGCATATGGTTTTCATAGAGGAAACCAATTAAAGACAGCTGCATGGTAAGCTGATTCAGGAAGGCAAGCTCCTGATGGGTAATTACAGTAGGAAGGCTTCACTCCGCCACTGATGACTACACAGGCACACAGACAGACAGGCAGACAGATAGGTGCGCGCGCACACATACACACACACACACACACACACACACACGCACGCACGCACCCACGCATGCACACACGCATGCACAGAGTTCCTTTGCTCATAGGAGGCCTACACATAAAGCTGTGTTTGCTAACAGGTCCATCTCAACTTCTATGGCAAAGCCAGTGTCAGGGCAGAAGGGCTACTGCTTTGTACCCTAATCAGTTCCTTCCAGGTGTTTGCTCCGTATTTAAAAAATCTTGGGTGGAGGTCAACGCAGCCCAGCGTAAGAACACTGTTCCGACAGCAGAATGCACGAAATCTTGATTCCTGGTTCTGCTGAGGGCTGTGATTGCAGGCAAACCAGTCAATGCCTGTGTGTCTTGGTTTGCTCTCCTACAAGTTAAGGGGCTGCTGCTCCTTGGACCCCAGGGAGGCTACATCAAGATCAATGTCATGAGGTCATGGTGTCACTGGCTTTATCTTTCCACGTCTTCCCGTGGAGCTATTCACTTAACGCTCCTCACTCGACTTTGCCTCTCCGTGTGCTATGACTGACTCCAGGAGCCCACGGCGCAGAGATGACCTTGTGTGACCTTCAAGGGCAGATCATGGAGGCAGCCTCCTTCCCTCTTCTCCCGGCCCCCGCAGCAGATGTCGTGGACCTGAGCTTACCTGATACATCCTAATTATCTTTAAGATATGAACTCTGTCTGCACACAAACCTAATATTCCCACCCAGGATTAATGAGGAGGAGAGTCCATTCTCCATCAGAACGAGAGGAGGAAAGACAGAAATGGACTAACGAGGGCTCTCATAATTATAGCCAGGTTCTCACTTCCCAGAGAATATCCGAGCCCATTTCCTGTGGGGACTTAATTAGGCAGTGAGGGCATTTGCTGAAACTGTGAGACCAACACTTTGTGCACAAAACAGAAGGGCCATCAGCTCACCAGTTCCAGACACTGCCGGTGGCCGTAGGCAGCCGCGTAATGTATGCTGTTGTAGCCCTCCTTGTCCCGGATGGACGGGTTTGCATCATTTTGAAGCAGAAATTCGAGACATCTGTAAGCGGGAAGGTGAACCATTATTTTAGAAAACGTCTCTGGACAAAATGCGATGATTAATGTACATATACCTATTATGGATGTGCCACAAAATACTGCAAGTTTGTTTCCTTTAAAGATCCTGCTGCAGTGACAGAAGGTGTGTGTGTATGGGGTGTGTGTGTGTGTGTGTGTGTGCATGTGTGTATGTGTGAACATATGTGTGCATTCTGTAGCTGTCTTTATTTCAGTTTGGAAGAGCCATTCTAGATTCAGGAAAAGTTTTGGGAACAAAAGGGTAATTAAGGTTTTCTCTTTTTATCTTAAGGTACAGAACATGACTACCATCAAGATTACTGAATAGTAACATTTAAATCTCCACACTCAAAAGTTGAAGTCTTGCTGGAAGTGCTACATACTTGTAATCCCAGCACTTGGGAGGCTGAGGCAGGAGGATCAGTGCAAGTTTGAGGCCAGCCTGGGCTACACAGTGAGTTCAAGGCCAGCCTGAACTACATAGTGAGACTCTAGCATATACAAGGCCCTGGACTTTTTCTCCAGTAAAGGAAAATAAAATGTGGTCAGTCTATCGCAAGTGGACAAACACAACAGAAAGAATATTTTAAACATTGCTATTAGAGACTGAGATCCAAAAGTTAGAAAATGAAATTTTAAAATACAGTGAGAAAAAGCAAGAGAACTTAAGCATAGTCAGATAATAAGAAGTAGAGGAAAGCAGTGGATAAACATGCTCAAAAATATTAAGGAGCAATTCAGAAATTACACCACATAGGTGGGTGGTCTAGACCAAAAGATTAAAATTTAAAACTCCTTTTCTGGCATAGTTGTAATTTTCTTGAAAGAGCCTCCAAATCTGGAACTGGGGAGAGGCAGTCGGTCCCCTTGCTAAGGAGCCGTGGGTGCCACACATCATGGCGGGAGGGAGGAGAAGGCGAGGGTGTGGCCCTTGGCCCATGCTGCCGCCCTGACCGGAAAAGCTGGCCACAGCAGGGCTCCCAACTCCAGGCTCATCTCAGTGACTGTGGGACAAACGTCTTCTGCACAAAGCCATGCTGATTCAATTTCAGATTCCAACTGAGATCCTAAGATTCTGAATGGAACCGTACATGGTAAATGAGGCTCTGCCACGGGTATCTTCATTGTAAAAGCTTCAGTGGCATTTACCTACCTTTTGGTGTAAGGCCAAAGGAATAAATGAATTCCTAAACTGGTCCTTAAATCTCTAGAAAACTGATGAAAGACACATTTTTAAACCAAATAGCCAGTAGTCATATTTGTCTACAAACACCCATAATAAATCAAGCTTTTATTAGGGTCCATCATGCTGTCTTTGCCATTGTCCCTTAGAAGGAAGTCCTTTCTCATTTCGCTAATTAAGCATCTGGACAGGATCCTAGGTGTGACATGCCGTAAAGTGAATCCAGCTCTTTAAATGAATGGTTCCAAAGGAACAGCGTGCCAGTGGACACGCCCGCCCCAACCTCTGAATGGATCTGCGTTTGAGCTCCTGAGTTCAACCTGTGCTTTGCAAAACATCTGGAATTGCTCCCAAAGGCTACTAGATCCCGAACACAGCTGAACTGTACAACTAACAACAATGCAGTGTGATTCCAGCACCAATATTCTCTACCTAGTTTCTAAGCAGAAAGTAAACCCCACGTTCTAACCGGAAGTCTTATCTCCTCTGCTCCAGGGTGCTGACTAATAAGTTTGCCATGCAAGATAGCAAGGAAGAAGCTGTCAGATGAGAGGATTGGACAGAAGCCCATCAGGCTGGGGGATCTGGGCAAGGGGAGAGCCCTCTTTGGCCCGAAGCAACTTGAAGCACCTCCTCTCCTCTTCGCTCCCTCCCTCTGGCATCATGAGGTTGCCCAGGGCAAATTCAACTTGGAATTTGCCTAGCAAAGGTAGAAATTGCTTCTACAGTAATGTCATTAATTTAAACTTTGCAGCATTTGGGCAAAATCTCAATTGGTCCATTCTCCTCACACCTGTGTCTCATGTCCATGTCACCTGCAGCAGGACCACATGCTCTAACTGCCCTTCTAGCATGCCCTGGCCACAGAGTGGGCACAGCTCCAGGACATAGAGGAGCAGGTTCCCCTAGCACCTGGGAACCACAGGCCTGGTGTGAGGACAGCCACTGTGGCCCCTGTGACAGTGGCGCTCAGGACCTGGAGGGAGGCAGGGACAGGGTCCCTGGTAGCCGTCCACAGGGCACAGGAGGCCTTGTGTAAGTGGAGGTGCCCGAGAGAGAGAGGAGGTGGGGGGATGCACCACTGTGCATGTCGCACCGAAGCCACAAGGCCTTTATTGATAGAACCTGCAAATAGGTACCTGAGGTTGTACAAGCAGAACCCAAGGCCCCAGGAGGAGGCTGAAGTCATCCCCTGAGGAGCAGGGTGCATGGCAGAGTCAGAAATGGTGTCTAAGACTGAAAACCACCGGCAGTCATCATTATCACCCACACACAGGTGCAGTTTTACAGAGGCCCGTGTGACAGTGGATCACTGAAGGAGGGACGGGGACCAGCTTCTCCATGAAAGGCAAGCCCGCCTCAATTCCTCAGGATCCCGAATGAGGCCCCGCGTGGCAGCCCCAGGAGACGGCGCCTTGTTCTCATTCTCAGAGGAAACTTACAGTGCGGCTTCCTTTTCCTTCAGCTCCCGGGCTCTTTCAAGTTCTTCTGAATTTTCATGGGCATTTCCCAGTAGCATCTTACTTCTCAGCATTAAGGGAGAGGCAAAAAAAAAATCGCATTTTTGTCATTCATGGTCTTAACACAGTTGTATCTCGGGGATTTTTGCCCCAAACAATGAGCACTACCGATCTTCACAGAGGACAGACATGGCTCTCCCCAAAGCTGTCCAGTAAGTCTGTTCCTGCCTGAAGAATCCAGCTAAGAGGGCTTTCTTAAGACTTCTGCCTAGATGTCTGTGCCCAAGAAGACTCCCGAGTCCCCTACCCTTCCATAAGCACCCTGACGCTCCCCCAGGAAAAGGAGGCAACTCAGCTCAGACTTCCCTGAGTCCCACTGCACCCCCTGCTGCCTCCTTGTCTCACCTACTGGGAGTGGGGTCCCCTCACCCTTCACCTTCCAGAACAACTCGCCACCCACGATTCCTTTCCTGCTCCCCACGGATGCAGGACACTGGCTTCCTCATCTCCTCCAGCACTGTCTTTTCCAAGGGCATAACCCAGAGCTTGGCATACACAGCAAGTGCTCAATAAATGTTAGTTGAATATCCTGAACTAATTCCCACTGAATTAATGGGCTGAATTAACAACCCATTATGGAATAATGAAGTCAACTTAATGGGTTGTAGTCTATGATTTTTTTAATGAAATAGAATTGAAGATACCAGAGTGCACTAGACATAGAAAATGCAAATACCATTTTATGAAGTTCTTATTCCTGTCTTGCATATGTACATATGTGAATGCGTGTGCTGGGTCATGGTGAAGATGAACTTCTGACTACAGATCACCATCTAAAATGTTTGCAGGGCTGAGGGTGTAGCTTCAGGCCTAGGGATCACACTTAGCATCAAAAATAAAACAACGTTTAAAAGTGTTTGGAAACCATTGCTCTATATGCACAAGAAAGCAGCCAATTCAACAGTTCTCCAAACAGGGTCCTCAGAAAGTATTTCCTACAAGGGAGGCCTCGCCTGCAGGCTGTGAAACAATTGCTGGAACTCTGGGGTCCTCCTTCCTCTCCAACTGGTTCACTGATTTCTGCTGTGCACTTCTAGCCATCTAGAATTGAAACACCAGAGCAACCTATTTCCTCCCTCCAGCTACTGAAAGAACTCAGGTTTGGAGCTAAGTCCTAATCTCCACCATCCTGAGGCTGTGGGATTACGCGGAGGCGGATGTTTTTGACATAGGATATACCCGTTACCAAATGTAAGGTTTACGGCATATCAAGTATTTAAGTGGTAAGGATGGAAACTCTGGTGTAAGTTTATTAAATTCCATAAGATTTTAAATGAACTGAAAACCTGGCCTTGACAGCTCCATCTGGTATTTGACTGTATAGTGCTAAGTAAAGATCAAATGAGAATCTAACCCTTGGGCTCTGGAGGAGGGAGATCTTCACCTGCGGTCCCCAGGAGGCAGCATGAAAAGATTCAGTGATGTCCCCCCCCCCCAGCCTGCCCTTCCCTGCTTCCTCCCTTCCCCCTCTTCCCCTCAATCCTGAGCAAATATGGGTGATCCAGGCTCTTTACTTTCTATCCACGTCCGAGGCCGCAGCATAGTGCAGAGCTGTCCGTCCCCAGTCATCCGTTTCGTTGACATTGGCCCCTGTGGTCACTAATGTCTCAATACAGTGGAAATGACAATTCGCGGCTGCATAGTGCAGAGGGGTTCTGGAAAACAAACAGGAATTCACTACTCACTTGGCTAGAAGACAGACGCGGACGCACACGTGGACAGCGGGATTCTGCGGGTGTGGAGGCCAAGGGATGAGCCTTCCTTCGACTCCATCGGTCAGCAATGAGAATGCAAAGCCTGGGGACTTCAGACAGGACAGGCACCGTGGAGCTAATCTTTCCACACCTGGTGCCCATCCTGGTCTGGGTCTATGCTATGGCTTTTTAGGACCAGGAAAGATCATCCCATGAAGATCCATCAAGACAATCCTTAGCCCTAATCAAATCCATCCAATTTTCAGTTGGTTTAAATGAAGAACAGAGCCTTCTAAGACACAATCCCCATGCATCTCAGTGCTGTTTGAAAGCCTTCACTGCCCCATAACAAAGGCTGGATTCTTCAGGCTGGAGCTGAAGACCTTCCCAAGCCGGTTCTGGTTCCTCTCACGGAGTCCCTCTCCCCTACAGGGACTCCTTGGTGTATCCCAAACCAATGTCCTGAGGCTTCCTGGGCCATGTCCACACTTCCTCCACCTGTGCCCGGGCTCTCCCTTCCACTCATCAAAACCCTGCTTGTAACCAGGTGTGGTGGTGCGTGTCTGTGATCCCAGCCTCTGAGCAGCTGAAGCAGGATCAAAAGTCCAAGCCCAGCCTGGAGACAACTCAGTGACTGAGAGAGGGTCTGTTTCAAAATAAAACTAAACAAGGGCAATTTTGCACACCTCTTTTGTCTTATAATCTGAGCATCTGAAGATAGCACTATACAATATATTAACCATTATAAATTTCCTATTCTCTGTGTTTTAAAATTCCGTATCATTGTTTTTATTGTTTTCCTTTAAAAAAAAAAAAGGGGCTGGGGGTGTCTGTAGCTCCATGTAAAGGTGCTGGGTTTAATTCCCAATGCCACCAAACAAGGTGACACGTTACTCATCCTCCAAGACCCAGAAGCTAGCTGTCTCTGTCTGAGATCACTCAGCTACTGTCTGACCACTTCTGAACTCTCACACTGGATGCCTTGATGACGTTATTCAGTGTACTGTCTGCTCCTCTCCACTGAACTGCAGCTCCCTGAGGGCAGCCATGCAGGTCGATGGGAAGAGCCAGGCACAGAATCAGAAGCCCTGGGCTCCCGTCTAGGCAGATCTGCAAGCTGGGCCAAGCTGCTTCCCCACTCTGGGCCTGGGTCTTCTCATTCTCACTGTAATAGGGACCTGTGAACAGCTGTTCTGTCTCCAATTCTGTGTCCATATAGAAGTCAGGGCGTCACTTAGGGTTCGGAGCACTCATCTGTTATGGGAGGTAACGGGCACCCCAGCACCCATGAGAAGCACCTAACAGGGCAAGACTGCAGAAATATGAAGGGATTTGTGCTATCTTACTTACTTTTAGTTCTCATTTATTTAACAGTTTTTTCTGGTGTGATTAACCACCTTCCAGGGAATAATAAGCAGAATACTAGAAAGGAACTGAAGTTCAAAAATTATTTACCAGTTTTCAAGTACAACGTTTTACATATTATAGTCCTTGATGGGGGCTTGTTTACTACTGATGTCCTCTTCAGTCCCGGAGAAGGGCATGCTAAGTATCTCACACCATGGTTGCCTATGTTTTCGTGTTGGACCGAAAATCTTTAGGCATCAGGTATCTGACAGGCTGAAGTTATCGGGGGAAAGAAAATGCACCAGTCCTTGTCCTCAGGAGACTGGAGGTCGGGGGGGGGGGGGCGACTCAGAAACAGGAAATGGGGTCAATGAGCACAGTGCAAGGTGAGTTGCCATGGTGGGGTGTGTGGGTGTCAGGAGAGAAGGGACGTTCCTGCCACAGTAGCAGGGACCTGTCACGGAATCTGGAAGGGCGAGTAGGTGCCATCTGGGTAGATGGGTAAGGAGGAGACCTCAAGTCACCCCCAAGGAGCCAGAGAGCCTGTGGAGGGGAGGAGTTAGGAAACGCCAGGAGAACGCCTCCACCTCCTGTGGTGCTTAGCAATGATTTCTGAGAAACAGGTGACTCTGTCCTTGTGTGATCACAAACCTAGACAGCCCTCTACACACTGGGCTGCAGGACGCACCATTATATCCATAGTCACTACTGACTGAAATGCTGCTGTACATATACATGTGTGAAAAAACCACATGTCCACATCCTAGCTACCGTGATAGCAGAGTTTAGCTATTCAAAGGCCAGAAAGTACAAAGGCACATGGCCAACTTGTGGGTTGTGTAATTAATGTAAATATGTCAAAAAATGTATCCCAAGACAAATGTCTGGTACATACAAAAAAATCATCTCATCTCATGACTTCACTGTGGGGTGGAAGGGTTGGTTAGAGTATTCTGTCCTGCTACAAATGAATCTGCTAAATTAGATCCTTGTCCACTAATGAGAGGCCAAGAAAGGAAATGCTGCCCCTGGAGCTGGTCTGCTAGATGGCCTTTCCCTACAGGGCGGGATTCCCGCCAGGGTGGGCACCCCCCAAGGCCACTTGCATGTCACAGCCTCCTCAGTGGCCCCTCTCCACCCCCTTCATGGAGCCCCTGAGCCGTAGCGTCCTGATTACGTACCTCCCACACTTGTCCTTTTTCTGGAAATCTGCTCCACTGCTCTGCAAGAGCTTTATACATTCCACGTTACTAAAAAGACAGAGAAAACACCATGAAGATAACACAAAGATACTGGGCTGTTTTATCACAGATCTGTTTTCTGCAGCGCGCAGTGTAGGAGACACAATAGCTCCAGGTTTAACCCTCTGCTGAGCGAAACAACCTGAACACAGACAGAGTAAGCAACACCAGATGGTAAGAATGTAAATTCCTGCCTCGAAGCAAGTACCTCGATAGAGTGCAGAGCTTGGGGGAACAGCTCCAATTCCATGACTAAGAAATTTAATGATCATTGCCTGATTAAACCCTCTAAGTATGGCCTCTTGGTTTTTTCTAAAATTAATTCTTCAAAACCACCCAAAATTTATGAAACAACCTTTAAACCTACAGCCGCTAACTTCATGTTAGATTTAAACAATGAGAAGAACTTGCACATTTCCTTCCATCACAGCAGGAGAAATCCCCAAGGATCACCATCTTCAACCCAAGAATCCTCAGTGGAAAATACAGCAATGCATTTCCCCGCTTTTGAAATCAAGTAGATGAATATTCAAGACCAAGGCTGAAAATAATGTAGTGGAGAACAGAGATCTTCCAAAGCTCCCATGTGGTTCACGGAAGCAACAAATCATACGTAGTGGAGACAGAAGGACCCACTGACATGCGTGTTCCCCTTGAAGGGCATGGAGCGCAATATCAATTCTAACAGGAATTTCAGACATGGATTCAGATCAGCGAGTTGCCGCTTGCTGGACAGGTCTGAATTTTTAAAAAATGCAGACATCCAGGCAATCATCCATTGTTCTGAGCTTGGGATGCTAAGCAGCCTGGGACGTATTGTTTTATTATAATTTAAATGAGAAAAAATGATCTCGTTACTGATCTCTCCCCACTCCACATCGACCCATGACAGCACCTTTCTCAGAGAAACAGGCTACTGTCATGAACTAGGAGGACTTCTTCAGAGAAGTACGTGTCCATACAGAAGCACCAGTGGCCAATAATCAAAGGACAGCTGAGTGGCGTGGTTTTAGTGGGGAGGGGCCTCTTTAAAAGACACAAAAGTACAAATATATGACCAGGTGTAAGGCTATAGGATGGACCCATGTGGACAGCCCTGAGTTTCAGAGTTAATTCTTCTCCATTAAATGGGTAACACCCTTGGATGCCAGGTTTGGTCAACGCGTGGTCAGAAAGCAATAATTTATTGATCAGAGGTTTAATCTGACCACAGATAGGAAAAGGACAATAGCTGATGACAAATAACAAAATTGGAAGTGGGCTAACATTTTTCCCCCTTTGGAAGGACAAGATACAAGTAATGTGGTGATATTTGGTAGAAATGATTCTTACCCAACTCACTAAGGATATTGTCTTTGAGTCACAGACAACTTCAGTCAATCAAGGCTACTGTGTCACCAAGTCATGAACCCCATGACGGCTTGGTACTCACCCTCCCGCGGCAGCAGCGTGCAGGCATGTTCTTCCAAATTTATCTGGGGTGTCTATTTCAAAGCCTGCAGACAGCACGTGCTCATTACTAAACAAGGACATTATGCGATACTTTTGTCCTAGTTAAACCACAAGAAACATCGCAAAGACAGAAAAATCAGTTAGTAGGAAAACCAGAAGGCAAGCGATTATAGTCAGAAAGAGAGTGTCATGGTCGTCATGGAGACGAATGGCAACTGCTCAAGCTTGGCAATTTCATAAGAAGCAGCGCAAAGTCAAGAGGGATTTCTCTGCACACTCAGCCCCATTTTTTAGTCCCACGATAGGAATTTATGAGACCAATTTGAGACATGTAGGGTAAAAGACAGGCAGACAGAACACACGGAGAAAACACAGACGCCAGAGGAGAAATCCTAACATGCAAGGAAGAGGTATTTTCTTACGTACATTTCAACCTTTCTGCTACTCTAACATCTGGGAAATAGGCTTTCCCGCAGGGATTATTTTTAAACATGCCAAAATCAGTGAAAGTAGGTAAAGGACTTAAAGGGGGGAAATCTGCCTCTGGGATACTGAAGAATTAACTGAGAAACAATCTTTGCCATGCAGACCTGCCACTTCGGAAAGCCCTACACTCCTTAGTCGAAGGAGGCTGGTGGAAGCTGTGATAAGAAAGACTGGGAAAGCTTCAAACCAGAAAGAACTTATTGGTTCCAAAGAACCTCACATTCAAAAACAGAATTAGAGTTAGCTGGAGAGGGATTAGTCTCACTGGTTTTTCAGTGCATAGAAAATATGGAAGTAACCTGATATTTTCTACCACTAAAATGTAGAGCATTTGAGCTTTTTCCTCTTTGAATAATATTAAACTTTAAGCCACTGCTTTAAGCCTCGAAGATGTTTTCTTGTTTATGACTTAAACTTCCTACGCTGCCTCTCTTTCATTCTGGCTCACACATGCTTTGCCTGAAAAATCAGACGCAGCTGTCATTCCCGGGGCAGGGACGCTGACATTCTAACAGCCTCAACCTGGGGAGGAGCTGGGGCATGCAGTTGGCCACCGGGCCACCTGGCCTCCCAAGTCAGGGCATGACAAACAGCACAGGCAGCCGTGCACTGGACCAGACACCTGAAGCCGCATGACTTGGGTACAGGACACATTAAGCTAGTCTAAGGCAAGAGATGCACTTACCTGATGATAACAGCTTCCTGCAGCAGTCAGAGTGGGCATTTAGGGCGGCTAAATGTAAGGGGAACATGCTATGGATTCCACACCTGAGGAGGAAAAGACAGCAGCTCGTGGTCGCCGGCACACGCACAGGGACACTGCCCCCTCTGGGTCCTGGGGTGAAAGCCCGCCCCTCGCACAAGAGCCCCGAGTGAGGTGACCTTGTAACCTTCCATTCTGTAAATACTGATGCTTTTTTGCTTTTGACTTTCAAATAATAAAACCCTACACTAAACCACAGCTAGAAGCCTACACCCATAGGAATGTTTTTTTAAAAAACTGTCACATAAACAATGGCTTTTTACCATTGATTTTCCCCCATTTCCTTTCAGCATGGTGGGTCCACGGCCCACTGGTTTATTCACCCACACATCCGCACTTCATTTTCTAAGCAGCCTATACTGCACTGAGGGCCAGAGGTGACTGCGCCTTACAAGACAAACTCAACTGCGAAGGGACCTGCTTTACGCTTCGACCTGATAAGCAAATAGCTTTTACTGACCTGGGCTGTGCCAAGCATTGTTACGAGTTAGTTATGACAAGATGATTGAAAGTAAAAATACAGATGAGACAAAAACTAAGGTTTACTTTTCACAAGTGAAATTTCCTCTTTCTAACAGACTTTTAACGGTGCATATTAGCCCGGTCACAAGAGCAGGAGACTAACAAGCATTACTGTGCATATATTCCATAAGCGCATCTTATTTTCCAGAAGATCACAGAAAGAAGCTAGCTGAGGCCTTGCTGAACTGCCCCTCACCGGAGCACATCCCAGGACCACCCCTCAGGGCCAGGAAGGGCGGGTCAGTGAGACTGACCCCTCTCTCCCTCAGCCTCTCCTGGAACAAGGACCCTAACATCTCATTTAATCAAATAGTGTATATCGGGTTTTAAAACCCTCCGAGTCACAAACATGAGGCTGTATCTGTCTCCACCCTGCCTTACCCGTGCTTCCTCTGTGGCACAAGGTGGCTCCTTCCCAGTTTCACGCTTCATAAAGAAACACACACGATTTGAATTTGTTATGCACTGGGCCCATCGATTTTATTTGCCATCTCCAAAGTTATTACGCATGTGTGTGAAAGCTTGGAAATAAACATACACATGCTCATATTTCAGTGTTCTGCAAAATCCAACTGTGTCGGCGATTTTTTCCTGTTTACTGTGTCTCTGCTCCACTTTCCCTGTGAGACTTTTCTCCCTACATGGAGACTTCCAGGCCAGAGCATATAATAGCTGGCATCCATCAAAAGCTGCAATTTGCCAGTCTCCCAGAACTGCTTGTAATTGCCTCTCTCCTCATCTACAACAAAAACTCGACAGCCATTGCATGGGTGATGCCCTTGAAGCTCATGGAAAGGTCGGGGGAGGGACGGAAGGCTTTTCTAGGTATGCTGTTATTAGTACTGCTCCTTCTTGATTCAGTAGAAACACACTATGTTTTAAAAATGTGCAACATGCTTTAAAAGCTCCTTACTAAATGGAACTTAAAACGAGTGTGATTTTTACCCAACCATTTTATTTGTTTTGGCGAGTTAAGGCAAAAATGTCAAATTAAATATCTCTGGAATTTTGGAAGAAGAAAATAAACAAGATACTTTTAAGTTCCTTGAAATACATGATTGAAATCAAAGGCTGGACTGAAATCAGAGGCTAAGGAAAGGCTAAGTGTTCCTCTTGGTGTTAGGAGACATGTGGGCCCCCTTCCTTCAGCCGGTCTTTTCTAGAGCCTCCCCTTTAGGCTGTGTGTAAAGAACCCTGTCATCGCAGCAGGGAGGTCACATGCTGTTTGAGCTCTAGGTTTTGCTACTTGCTATCTGATCTTTTACAGGGAATAATGGTTCCCTCCTCAGGAAAACAAAGATAACTACAGCATCTCCATCACAGTGATAGTAAAGCCTCCCCGGCCCACCGAGCACAAAGTGCTGGGGAAAACCTTTACCAACAGCGTTCTCATGATCGTTGTTATTGGTTTAATTGCTAAGCAGCAGCCTGTCGATTTTGAAGCTGTGGTCGGCTTGTCCTTCCTTACAACCAGGTTTGCGGCTCCTCAGAAGCTGAGTGTAGGGTATGGGTCATTCACATTTCTGTTATTTTTCCATCTTTCTAAACCCTTTCCAACGCTCACCTTGAACTCTCCCAGGGAAGTGAGATTGTCTTGGTTTTGTCCCCTAGGCGGGCAGGACAGAAGCATTTCCTAAGCACGGACTGGGATGATGTAAGATTCTTGCCTGAACTGTCAGCCCACGCCACAATGCCAAGCCTCTCGGGAGCTTCATCTATGCTGTTCTACACACTTGTTATGCACCCCAAGTTTCAAGTGTGCCAGTGTAGCTGACATTGGGGAGACCTGGTCCTTCATATCCGTAGCAGACATTTTTGGTGGGTCCTTCTGAGTCAGTCCACGTTCTAACATGGTGAGACAGCTCCTCTTGTCTGGCCACTGCCTGAGCTCCAGGTCACGTAGGATCTCACAGAGCTTTCTAGTTCCCAGAGCCAGGCTCTGTCCTGCCCCGGGCTTTTGCACATGCTCTGCCTGAAGCTCTCTGCCTCTCAGCATGTTTCTCAAAGACCACATGGAAACCTGAGTCACTACAAATGGCTCTGGACTGTCCAGACTTCTCTGGACATGAGAACACATCTGGGCACAGGTGACCGACCCTGTCATCCCTGCACACCTCTGTCAGACCTCGCTGCCTGCACCGGTGTTTGGGATTCCACTGTGCCGAGGAGTCAGGGTGGTCTCATGAAACATGCAGACCTCCAGCTCCTCTCTGCTTCACTTCCTGCTTCCCCTAAGGTGTCCTCCCCCCAGACACACGCTCACACTCACGGCCTTATCTCCAGCTGTGCTTGACAGGAGAAAGCCAAGGTGGCTGACCACGGCTGGGCCAGCGTCCCTTACCTATGTCTCTTCCATGGAAGGAAATACTACCTGAACATCCACACCATTCCCACGGCACCATTACCACAGGGTGGATTTGCATAAATAGCAAAATGGTTACAAGGAAAGAAACTTTGTGCTTGTTGAATTAAACGGGGTTTTCAGGAAATTTTAAGTGTGTAAGTAGGCCATTTATTTTTTAATACCTAAAATGGATTTAAATCTGGGGAAAAATCAGAAATCCATGGCTATTTACCAGAAACTTCCCCAATGAAGGCAAGGGTGAAAAACAAACCACTGAAAATATTACATCTGGCAGGCAGAGCAGGTCTGAAGCCTGGGTGTCCCGATCAGCTGTGGCCAGTCGGGCTGCCTCAGCTCCAAGGCACACGGGCAGAGGGGGCCCACCAGGGCAGCAGCCTCCCCGACTCCCACCTTGAGCAGAGCGTGACATCACCACGCCTGTCCTTGGGGTATGACATCACCATGACCCTCTCCCTCAGAGGATGATATCACCATGTTACAGGCAGCCGAGTTAGAAATACCATAGATGTCAGACAGGGCTGGGTCCTTGAAGGAGCCAGGGCAGAAGACTGGTACCTGCAACTGTGGGGGGGATCTCAAGACAAAGGTAAACAAATGCCCGCGAATCCTAAGTATAAACACCAGAGACTGATACTCTAGATCGGTCCCAGTCACCCTGAGCAAGCCAGGAGCCACCATCCCAACGCCCACAGGAAGAGTCACTGTTCTGCATTCATACCCCCTGCTGTGTGACTCGATTCCCCATTTGTCCCTGATTTGGGCAATTGTACCTGAGCAAGTAGTCTTACTGGTTGACCACAGTTCTGTCCCACCACGTCCACCTTGCCAGTTCCCATTTTTCCCATCGTGGACCCGCCTCACCTTGTGATTTTACTCTATAAAATCCCTAAAAAAGCCAGTCTTTGGTAACCTGAAACCCCTTCTGTCTCTCAGACAGAAACTTTCTGTCTCAAGAAATATTCTGCTCTTAACCTGTTGTTCCTAAAATTCATTCTTCGATTTCAGAGAACAGGAAGACCTAGGGACATCTAGTGGGTCAGGGGTTTCTTTCTCCTATGTCAACCACACTTCACCTCCGCAGGACGCCAGCACCCCTCCTCAGCACGTGATGTCATCACTTCCCTCTTCGGAACATGATGTCATCACACCCCTCCTCAGCACATGATGTCATCACACCCCTCCTCAGCACATGATGTCATCACACCCCTCCTGGGAGCAGGACGGCACCGCACCCACGCTCCCTCCCAGGGCCTGGCATCATCACACACCCACCCCCAGAGCGGTAGTCAGGCACTGGGCCTCCTCAGAGCTGTCACCTCCCAGGCTCTTTGCGCTCCCAGCACAGTGCCAGGCCCTCAGCGCAGGCCCCTGTCCCGCTGTCCTCCTCCTGGCCCGGCTCCCACCTGTCCCCGCACACAGACTGCGCGTCCCCATCCCGTGCTTCCCGCACCCTGGCCCGAAGGCTCTGGCCACCTGGGACAGCCTGTCTGGCGGGAGGCCGCAGGGCCTCTGTGGCCGTGACACCTACTTGGTGGCGTCCGCCCCACTGGTGATGAGCGTGTTGATGAGCAGCTCGTGGCCGTAGCGGGCCGCCACGTGCAGGGGCGTGTTGCCATCCTTGTCCACGCAGTCGATCTCGCCTCCTGAAAGACACAGGCAGCACAGCGTCACACAGACCTCCGTGGCCTCTTGGCCCAGCCCCGAGCTGGGCTTCCCTTCGGCCCTGTGCACATCACTGCTCAGGAAAACAACGCTTTTATTTCCTTTTTCTTGTTTTGTCTTTCTGAGACAGGGCCTTGCTCTGCAGTTCAGGCTGGCTTTGAGCTCACTGTGTGGCAAGGATCCTCCTACCTCACCCTCCCGGGTGCTGGGATGGCAGGCCTGCACCACCACCCCCGACTGAAAAACAATTTTTTTAAGTGGACAAGTCACCATGTGAGGGGCACTGTATCTGCACAGAGAAATCACCATGTATGGTTTTGAAAATCTTTCCATCTTGTATTTAAGGATCTGAATTCATAGCTAGACTACAGCTTTAAAATAACCACATAACCAAAGGGACCAGAGAGAGCAGAGAGTTCAGACAAAGACTTCACGTAGTTTCATGACCTAGGTTAAGATATGCATGAGGTAAATGAGTACAAGCACAAAGTATAAACTGAAAATGCCAGTGTGTATGTATGTATTTTTGGGACAGGGTCTCGATATGCAGTTCAGGCTGGCCTCGAGCTCATTCTGTAGCCCAGGCTGGTCTCGAACTTGCAACAATCCTCTTGCCTCAGCCTCCCGAGTGCTGGGATCACAGGTGTGCACCACTGCGCCCAGCTCTACTGCCAGCATTAAAACTATCACATTAATTCTCCATAATTTTTTCACTAAAGTGGTTTCACCTAGTCTTATTTTGCCTTCTTTTCTCCCAGCTTTTCACTTTGCATTGCTTTCTCTCCTTTCTTTCCTGGGTGGGTGTGGCTGCGATTAACCTGGTTAACCCTCTATCAGAGGAACTGTTTAAACATCTCAGCTCCGCTAAGAACAAAGCCGGCCCCACACATAAACACACCCCACCTCTGTGCCCAGGAACTGAACTCTAGTGCGGTTCTGTGCAATGTGCACTGCACCCCCAATTTCTCCTGTGCACCCAAAGGGTGCTTTATAACTGCTTTGCTGTAGTTGATAAATCCTGGGGCCAAAGACTCTTCCAGTTTCTGTTAGCCAGAAGCCATCTTCCTGCCCTTGACTTCTTCACTGTCCAGCTCTGGCATGTGATTGAGAGTTTTGGAGATGCAGCCGGGCTGGGTGGGATGTGCTGCTGCTGCAGTGGCACATGGGTCCCTCGTGTTAGATCTGGGTGATTATTCACAGGGGCACTGGGTCCCAGGGTGACTGGAAATGCATGATGAACGGCGCAGAGGTACTCAGGCCAGGGAGCCATTAATTCTCCAACTCGGTTACAACGGTACACTTCATGTCATGCATGCATTACTTCACCCCCCAAAAAAAGCTTGCCCAGCCCATTCTAGTGCAAAAACCGTCTTTCCTTTTCCCTTTATAGTTGAACAGTTTTCATGGCAGCGCTTTGAGACTGTAAATATCCGATTTGCAAACACTACCCCGGCGGCTTAAGCATCCTCTGGGAAGGAGTGCTTTTCTCACTTACGGCCTGAATTCTTCATCTGTGTGTTTCTAGCACTGCTCTGACGTACGGTTATGTTCCTTTGATTCTGTGTGTAATAAAAACTTTTACTAGACTTATTTGATTAACAGGTAAAAGGTCTACATGTTCCAAAGGTCAAAATTATATTTTTAAAAGCCTCGTTCCCTTTGCGTGATAATCATTAGTTTATGTTTCTGTGCTTCTCTCTGCAAGAGTAGTCCCTGCCCCCTCACACTGAGAGGTTGCTTCCCAGGGGCCACCTCATTTTCATGCTGCTCCCCTGTTGTCCTCAGCATGGAGGGGTGACTTGGGCCTGCGGACCAGGTTGTGACATTTTGCTGTGCCAGGAACAGTGCCCTGACTGGCCTCACACACAGGGGTGCTGCTTCATACTCGCCACATGTCCCTCAGGCGAATCTCTGGCACCTGTTATTGATTTTAAGACAGAAAAGGTTCATGCACAAGTCATTTTTTCTAAACTAAAACCTCAGTATTAAGGTTTAATTGCAGGGCTGGCACTTTGCCGTATCTGAGTGGGTTTGGGGTTGCAGGTTGGGGCACTCGGTCTCTAAAGGCTTCCCCACTGCTGCCTTTGCATAAATGCCTTCAAAGGAGACTTCCGGGCAACAGGGCGAAGGAATCTGTGGTTTTATTGTTTTTGTTTTGGCCAAATTTCCTGTGTAGGACTCTGACCAGCACTGTAGAAGGCGGGCCTCGCCCCCTCCACCTCATCCGGCTCTTAAGTATCTGCCATCTGCAGTCACCGATATTCCAGGGGAATTTTCATTTGCATTTCTGATTGTGAAGTTAGTGGGACAATGTTTTTTTCTGTGACTTCCATGTGATTTCCCATGACTTCTGCCCAGTTTTCTAAGTGTGTGTATGTGTGAGTGTGTGCGTGTGTGAGTGTGTGCGTGTGTGAGTGTGTGCGTGTGTGAGTGTGTGCGTGTGTGAGTGTGTGCGTGTGTGAGTGTGTGCGTGTGTGAGTGTGTGCGTGTGTGAGTGTGTGCGTGTGTGAGTGTGTGCGTGTGTGAGTGGTCTTTCACACTGTGAGTTCCAATCTCACACATCTGGGAGATTATGCATTTATCAGTAATGCATTTTACAAATATTTTCCCCAGGACTTTTCTCTCTTTTTTTCCTTTTGAGACAGGTTCTTGCTATGCAGTTTCAGGCTGACCTAGAACTTAGGTAGCTAAGGCTGGCCTTGAACTCATGATCCTGCTTCAGCCTCCTGAGTGCTGGGATTACGGGTGTGCTACCACGCCTGGCTTTTTTAAAAATTTATGATGCTTATATCCTGTACATTTTTAAAAAATAATTTACAAGTCTTTTATTTGGGCTACAGATCATTATTAGGAAGGCTTCTCCATATTTTGGTAATAAAGAAATGAACATGTGTTCTATCTGGCAAAGGGGTCACTTGCTAGATTGAGACCTCTGATCCATTTGGAGTTTATTTTGGTGATAATGTCTCAGTTGGCTACTTAACTAACTGTTCCCTGAATGCCTGAAAGAATCAAAGTCCAAGAGAAGGGTCCGAATGATTCAGAAAGAGAAAGTAGATCAGCAGTTGCCAGGGCCCCAGAGGGAGGTGTGGGGCTGACCCCACTGCGCTGAGGTTTCTTTGAGGTATGAGGGAAACAATCTGGAATTAAACGGTGACGGCTTGGTGTGGATGACCCTGGGGAAACACTAAAACTCACTGTTTAAAAATCCTCTGCGCTGAAGTGGCAACTTTTATGATATATGGCTCATCTCTCAAATAAAAAGAAAGAAGCTAATGAAAGCTACAGAGAGAAGAGAGGACTAAGCAGAGGGAGACTCACGGAGGACAGGGGATCGAGGCGCCCACTGTTCCTCTCTAACCAAGAGGTTCCTGTGCATCAACACAACGCCCAGCGCATGGGGGCCCACAGCAAGCCATTCTGGGGCTCTGCTTCTTGGTTTTCCTGTCCAGGAACAAATCTCTGCAGCACTAAGGAAAGCTCCAAGTTCCTGATTGTCACATTGTCCTCTTAGATAGCAGATATCTTAGAACAGATCCTATTAGAAAATTATTCTTTACAAAATAATATTCTAATTTCCATCAATTTTGGCCTTATTTTTATCTTGAATTATATAGAGCTAACATAAGATATATTATAATGTGATATATACATAATGTAAGATATATTACATTGCTAATGTAACAATGCTATTGTTCAGCATGTCTATCTAAGCCATACATAGTTATATACACCAGTAAAAGGAATATACAACCCTAAGAAATATATAAGTACCTTTGGAAGTGGTGCAAATCTGTAATCCCAGCACTCAGGAGCGGAGGCATGAGAGTCACCAAGAGTTCAAAACCAGCCTGGGCTACATAGCGAGAACTTGTCTCAAAATTTTAAAAAAATCTTTGGTCAATCTAGAAAGATATTATAATCCATTTTAAATAACTTATTCATGATGGTAATTTTGGAAAATTCCCCTGGAATATCGGTAACCGCAGATGGCAGATACTTAAGAGCCGGATGAGGTGGAGGGGGCGAGGCCCGCCTTCTACAGTGCTGGTCAGAGTCCTACACAGGAAATTTGGCCAAAACAAAACAAAATTAGATGGTAATTTTCTCATTGTAGAAAATGTTAAAGATTTAGGAAAATATACAGAAAAAAATGGAAACACCCATAAATTCACTGATTATCACTGTAGTATTCACAATACTACAGTGTTGATATTCTGGAATATTTCATTCCAGTTGGCTTCGTGTGTGTGTGTGTGTGTGTGTGTGTGTGTGTGCACGCATGTGCACATGCACACATGTGTGTACAAAACTTTCCCACAGCTGAGATTGTGGTACAGAAAGTGTTGCATCCTGGCTTTCCCTGATGTCACATAACAAGTATTCGCCCTATCATAAGTTCCTCATTAGCATAACAGCAGTGTTTAGAGAATTTCCGAGCGATTCCCAGTGACTAGTCATTAAGACTAGTCCCAAATCTCCACTAGTACAAAAACCTAGGGGTGAAGATCGTTAGTTTCCAGCTACAGAGTCCCCGAGGGTGGGGCGGAGCCTGGTTGGAAGAGCCAGGTCACTGCATGTGTGACCTGGAAGGTGGGCTCTTGTCACCAGCACCTCCTGCTCTGCTCGCTGGCTGCCATGGGGTGAGCTGCTCCACTGGAGCCTTCTTTCTTGGAAAGCTATTTCTTCCTTGGACTCAGCTGAACCCTCTGAAACATAAGTCAAAATAAACCACTCATCTGAAAATTACAGGTGTTGAGTATCTTGTCTCAGTGATAAGAAATTCACTAATGCAAACACCTTTAATTCCCTTCACCAATAATTTTGGAAGTAGAACTCACAGCTCAAAAGTCTGACCAATTTTTTTGTTTTTTGGTTCTGGGGATCGAACTCACAACCTCACACTTGTCAAGCAGGGCCATGCCCACTGAGCTATATCCCTGGCCCCAACAGTATGATCATTTATTGTGAAAGGCGGGGTCCATGTGCACCCGCCTCAGCAATATACTCCATCACGACACAAACTGAAGCCCTCAGGAGCCTCCACCGACTTGGGGAAAAAGCATAAACACTCCCAGGGCAGGCCTAAGGCCGCTGTAAAATCCTCACAGCAATCCTGTGTGCATCCTGCTTTGGGTCATAATGATCAACAAACCCCCAAGACTTATTTCCAGCGAACAATGCTTTCTAGTCAGGTGCACTAGTGAGGCTCAACCAGTGATTAAGAGTCTTTGCTGAAGTGAGATGGCTCCTAGGGCTGGGCTTCGGGCTGCCGTCAGCACACAAGGCATCAGTGCCAGGCTTGTGCATGCAGACTGCAACCGCCAGGACATCCGGACTTGCCAGTAACTGCTCTTTACAGAAAGGTACTCTCTTTTTCACTTTGATGGGGACAGAGAAGTATGATTGGCAGCTTGAACCCAAACAGTGAGCTTTCCTCAGATCTTCGTTTCTACGATACAAATTATTTCTAAAACAAACTGTCCAAATAAATGGGCCATCGACCACTTCTGTGAAAGTAACATCGTCACATACACTTTCTTAAGTGCACAGAACAACCCAGAGGTTTCACCAAACCGTCAACGGGTTGGGGATTTTGGGAGAGCTGCTTCATGATTCCCCTTAGGCTTGCAGTGGGCATGTACTAATCCTACAGCAGGAAGCAGTAGACCCAGTCACCCGGACATTTGAGGGGCCCAGAGATACAGCACTCTAACCTGCCTTTAGAAGCACGCAGTTCAGGTTGATTCATTCAGGCTGATCCCTGACGGCAGCTTCGGGGACCGGAGGCCACGCAGTCTCAGTGACCTGCAGGCTGCCCGAGTCTGTCCACCCTCTCCTGTGCCCCTCCTGACAGCTCCAGCCGTGGGGCTGCTCCACACTGCGGGGCCCCAGACTCTGAGAAGCTTTGCCTTCCACGCCACTCCGCTCCACACCCTTCCCAGGCAGGAGCCGCCAAACCGTCCTAAGAAGTCAAGGTTTCCAGGCTTCCAGCCTGAAGTGAGTCAAACATTGGGCAGGTAAAGCAAACAGTGAGCAAGGCGGAAGAGAGGCCTGAGCTGGCCAAGGCTCTTGCTATCACTTCACAAATCAGTTAAAATAAAAGTGCAGTCATCACCAGCCATAGAGGCTTCCGCTGTCACCTAGAATATGTTTCGGGGAAAGTGTCGCAAGTTGGTGGGAAAATTAAAGACAGACCGGATTTTGTTATCTGAAAACGTGCTTCCTGTGAGAGCAAACCCTCCAGACAAGTGAGTTTCCATTTTATAATCCCTGCACAAACTCTTCCATTTCCGCTTGGAAATCTCTGCTTGGCATGCAAGTTGAATGTCTGTATGATTGATTGGAAAGCTGCAAGGTAAATGCGGGAAACTGATCATTGATAACCCGTGAGGAAAGCAGACGTGCCTGTGGAGCAGCTCCAAATAATAATTAGTCAGCATTATCAGAACAGTCACCTGCCACTCGTTTCTCATTACACAGACAAGAATGGTCTCCCAATTAAATTGTCTCAGAAGGACTTTGACCACAAGGTCAAAAATCTCACGTGGAGCTGTCCTAATCTAGTACTTGGCTCTTTCTGTGCAAACTGTTTACTTTTTGTTTTTTGGGTTATTTCTGCACCAGGAATTGAACTCACAACCTCATGTTTGCCAGGCAGGTGCTGCGCCACTGAGCTATATCCGCAGTCCAAACTGTTTCTTTTTAAAGTGTCTGTGAAGAAAACCTGCATCTTGAACTTGGCAGCTCGCTGCTGGGCGTCGAGGCGACTGTCCCTGCTAAGCGCTGGGTCAGAGCCCTCCTGGTGCCACCCTGGGTCTCCTTCCGGTTCCTCCCTCTCGCAGCTTCAGACACAGCGTATTTGACCCCAGAGGAGTCCTTGCTTACTAACCAAAAGGCAGAAGAGCGTTTTAAAGGCCTGCTTTACCAAAGAGGGCTGATCCTGGCTAAGACGGTAAGATTATCCAAAGAGCTCACAGCCCTTCCTGGAGAGCAGAGTGGGGACAATAGATACAGAGTCCAGATGCCAACGCGGTTCACCAGGACGTCAGCACCAAGACCGTCCCTCAGCGCATGCTCAGCTGGGGGAGGCTGCTGAGCGGTGTCCCCCAGACGGCTGTGCAGCCCAGAGCTCCTGTGACTCAGCCGCCTGGGGACCACACCAGGCCCGGGATGGAGGAGCTCAGCAGCCGCCCAGGATGCTTTCTAGAAGGAAGCAAACAGGAAGGAAGAAAACAGCTGCCTGTTTTCCCCAAGGGCATTTTCAAAAATTTCCAGTGGAAGAACTCACAGTTCCCACAAGTGGAAGGATGCAAGGCGCTGCCAGGCGCGAGAGGAGGGAAACACAGCGCCTTTCAGAGGGACAGTGCACCTCTCCGCCAAGGCGAACTCACGTTAAACGGTGTTTTATCATTGTTCTTCCCGACAGCACATGCGTAAGTCTGATGTTAAACCACCTGTGTTCCAAACCCTCGTCGGTGTACAGTGACACTAGTGGCAACCTCTCTGCCTCAGGTTCTCTGTCTTTGAAATGAAGCTAGCAATAGTCCTCCTCTCATAGAAGGGTTGGAAGGAGTTCGGTGGGGTGTCTGGCTGCATGCCCAGCAAAGAGGAAATAGCCAATCAATGCTGGCATTATCGTTTCCCAGGCCAGCCTGCACCCCAGCCCCTCCCCAGACCCTATCCTGGCCCCCACCCCAGCCACTACCCCAAACTCTAACCCCCACCCCAGCCCCCACCCACAGCCCCCACCTCAGCTCCTACCCCAACCACTATGGCTTCCTCAGTCCAGGCCCACAGGGCCCCACCCACCTGCCCACCCACTAGCAAGGCACCAGGTCTACTGAGAATGAGAAAACTCTGAAGCAAAGTTCTCTGAGACACAGCACAGGAGATGGAGTCTCTTTCAGGTCTCCCACTCCAGGGCCCAGGGAGGACATGAAGCCTCCAGCTCACGCGTAGCACTAGGCGGGCCGTGAGCACAGAAGCACGGCAGCGGCCAGTGTGACACGGTCATGGCTCAAAGGCCGGGGTAGTCTGGGCAACCCACGGGCTGGACATGCAGGAGGCCAGGCTTCTGGGGACACCCTGAACTCTTCCTACCCTCTGTGGCCTGAGGTGGCTCCCCAAAGGATGGAGCTTTCTGTGGCATAGAGCGAGACCCTCTGGTAAAGTCCTCATTAAAATCTTTAAAGTCTTGCTTGTTTTTAAGGAAATAGATATTCTGAAAAGCATTTGAGAAATAAAGGTGGATAAGGAAAATGTTCCAAAGAGAGAGACGACGGTCACCTTTTCCCTTTATTTCTAGCCAGAAAATTAAACAAAATAGCCTTTTCAACATGATGAATGTCAAGGGCATGATACATATTTCAAATTTGAAATGATGGGTGTTATACAGCTATAACAGTTCATTTTCCCTTCTTTCTTGGCTCACAGGAAACTTGCTAGGATTCCTTTTCCCTTACAATTTCACTGAAATGCATATAAATTTCCTCTGCCTGGTCACAGATATTTTGCTTCTTAAGCACAATCTCACTGGCTGGCCTTCCATCCAAATGTCACATGATTTTCTAGTTTTATGACTTGAGTGCCTAAGATATAACTCAGTGCCTCACTAACAACTGGAGGGTACATCGTCCGAAACTCCCGTAGACGAGAAAAATACAGATGCGGGAAAGCTGACTGACAGCTGAGTTCTGAGAAGCAGAAATAAATGTAGGTCAGCTAAAAGTCATTTAGGAATTGCCAGACTGACCAGTTAAAATCTAAACTAAACATGCTTTGTTCTTCTTTTTAATTGTCTCTAAGATTTACTAAGAGAACTCTCAGATGAAGCGGGGCCCACACACAGCGGAGTGGAGCAATACTCCCCAACCTCGGCTTCAGTGACCTCCCGTGACAGTGCAAGGACGTTTGTTTCGAGCTGGAAAATCGCTGTTGTGACCTGCGCAGGGCTCTGGCGAGCCTGTGCTTTCATGATCCTTTCTGCCATGCAGCTACCTGTCCTTCCTCTCGAGTCACCTCTTTTTCTCCTATCTTTGCTCAAGAAACTTACTGAGCTTTGACAGGGAAGGATGGTAAATTGTACCATCTAAAAACCATCAGGGGTTGCCGCCCTAACACTTCCCTGTGTTCCCTGTGTCCCTGAGCCCAGCCCAGGGTCTCAGTGCCACCCACCTGCCCCTGGCCGGGCTGGAGCTGCCTGGGGACTGTGGTCTGTGTTCTCCCTGCCAAGGAGGAAGATGATGTAGGTCTGCTCGTGAGCTTGCTGTGAAGATGTCAAAGGACCATGCAAACCTGTGCTTGCTCTCATGCAAACATGGCATCACTTCTCACATCCAGAGGACAGTCAGCCAAGCTCAGGCAGATCACGGAACTGTTCCCCAGAACACACAAGGGGCACGCCTCTCTTACCGTTCTGGATGAGGGTCTGCGAGCGCGTGAACCGTCCGTGGACAGCCGTCATGTGCAGTGGACTTTTGCCATCTTTGCTCTAAAGACAGGAGAAAAGGGGGATCATGAAAATGCTCACGAGCTGAACATCAGTCCGACAGGTTCTCATGGGCACTGCAGCAAAGAGCCACCACTAACAACATCACTTTCAATTTTTTAGAAACATGGTTTGAATGACAATTACAAAAAAGATAATTTTGAAAGAAAAATGACCAGGGAGATCCCCCTCCCCGGGTTACAGTAAGCACTACATTCTATAGAAGCATAGGAAAGAAGTCTCATCCAAAATGGCTTTGTGATCTGCTGATAAAGGAGTTTCCTGCAAGGTGATTTTTTTAAAAAGCTTTTAAAACACACACATTCTATGAACTTGTGCGGTCTTGTCTGAGCTATAGTTGACAAAACTGCAATAAATCACTGCGGCTCTCAAAGCTGACTGGGAACCTCCACCTTCCTACGCTCTGGCTCCACAGGAAAAAATCCTGATTGTCCAAAAGACAACAATTGTTCACTTAACTCATTAGAAACCAGAGGACGAAGGTATGCAGGTGTTTGGAAAGCTGTCACCTTCACGATCAGCCGGAAAGGTGTGCTCACGTGCACAGCTCTTATTACTGATTATAGAAATTGTGGATCTTCCTAATGTAGACCACACGAAAACATGCAGAATCTGTGTGTTGATTATTACACCAAACACCAAGTCCCTGAAATAAAAGTTAGTGCTGGAAATGAGCCCAAAAGGAAATGCCATCACTATGTTAGACCAAAAGCAGCCCCAGAAGACAGGAGCTAAGGGCCGTGGCCCCAGCTTCCAACGTTCCGTTTAAAAACTCTTCCACTGCAAGACAGTGTGAAAACAGCTCCCATTGCCTAGAAACCACATTCATATTCTGAAGATTGATCATCTCCTGGCTGGTGATACATGGCAGGGAATTCTCCTGACAGAAGGGCTGGCAGCTGTGTGAGTAGGACAAACTGCTGATCCTCTGTCTAGACGTGTCACTGGGTTGAAGTTTAGGAGGTTACATGAGCTATGCACATTTTCAACGTACAGTCAGTTTATACTGGGGAACCTAATACCATCGTAAATCAAGGAGCAGCTCAGCTGTATTTTCATTAAGTATTGCATTTCTAAAAACTCATGTAACTGCTATTTTTCTAAGTTTCAAGAGAAACATCCCAAAGTCTAATGTTAAAATGTGAGGTTTCAAAAATGCATGGTTTTGGGGGGAGGAAATCTATACACCTAGGCTGTAAGAGAACTTTGTTTTTAGAGCTTCATGCTGGAAAATGATCATTTAAATAAGATTTATGAAGAGTGGGCCAAAGTCAACCCACATGGGACTTTCCGGGGCTGGGAAGATGGGTGCTGGATTCGAATCTACACCTGCTGAAGAACTGGGGCTGGGCAGATGGAGCCCATTTCTAAATCACAAAGAGCCCTGGAGAATAAGAGCCACCACTAACAGAATGATTCTCTCCTGTAAGTTTCCCCGTTAGAGAGGAGGGAGGCAGTCGCACAAGGTCTGTTCCAAGGGGTGTTTCTGCCTACGGGAGTGCTAAGTGCCTCCTAACTGAAAAACAGTTCTCAAGGAGATGAACGGGGAGAAACGATGGGCCAGATTTGATGAGATCCTGCTCTGCATCACAATACTGAGAAAGGAGGACCGAACTCCACTAATGCTTGACTGGAAACCGTACTTTTAGAGGAAAAGAGAAGCCACGAGCAGGACAAGGACTTGGTGTCTCTGACTCCACAGCGCACAGGCCTCCAGCAGCCCCCGGCTGTCACACTGTACACCTCAAATTACTAAGGGGCCTGGGAGCCCCGTGGGAAGAAGCATTTGAAACACACCCTTCCAACAACAAGGGGAGGACAGTCCAAGAAGGTCAAGGAGAGAGGACAGCAGTTTCAAAGTCGGTATTGACTCGTCCCTAGGTGGAGCTATTTCTTTAAATGTTGCTCCAGTGTTTTCGCTTCAATTTAACATGAAAATGTAATTATCATCTAATTAAATATATATAAGCCTATATAGACTTCAGTGCTTAGGAAATATCTTCATAAGGAGTTAGCTAAGCACTTTGCCATGCCTGGAAAAGAATATAAAGACTCTACCAAGGAGGTACGCTACCGACTTGGTAGCTCTCCAAATTGTAGGCAAGAATCAGAGTGTGTCGAGTGTAGTTTGCAAAGTTGGCCTCCTTTCAGGGACAGGAAACTCCATGCCCTTCTCCCCAAAAGCATGTTCCCACAGTACCAGGGAAGGACCTGAGGACAAACCCTGAGTCCCAGGTGTCTCCACTCTGCCTGGACTCTAAGGCAGAGGTCAGCATGGAGCTCCTCGTCCTCTTTCCAGCTACCTCCTCTGGTAACTGCTGGTGAAGACACTCTTTAGTGTTTTGTAAGAATAGAGGTAAGCAAGGGGACACAGTGAGGGTGGACACTGGCTGCATTTCAACGCACCATTTTGCTTAGACTTTGGGGACCCCAAACAAACATCAATTGTCTCCCCTCAGCAAACTTTAAAAATCCACGGGGCAATGCAGCGCTGACAGGTAACAACTTTAATTAGAAAGCTCCTCCAGAGTCAGACAGGAAGGCTCTCCGGGACAGGAGATGGTCCCCTGCGTTGGGGTGCGCCTGGAATCACTAAGCAGGGCAGGACTCGGAGGGATCAGCAGCCAGGGCAGGGAGACAGGGCGGAGGACGGTCACACTAGATTCAAACGCCTCTCTTGTGCTGACTGGATCTCATGCACTTCTTATGTTCTATTTATAATTAGCAGCATAGGGTAAATTAAACATTAAAACCAAGTTGACGGATTCCACCCATATAACACCCAGTGCAGCTCCTGCCCAACATTGCGCAGGGCCCTGGAGTGACAGCGCCTCCCTCCAATACTGACTTGTGTTCTTCAAACCGGAAATTGAACTTCCGGCTTTTTGCGCATGCGCCAACCTTGCCCCAATCAGTTGTCAATACGTCATTCTGCCCGCCCCTTCAAACTCCACCCTTTGTCATACTGAATAAAAGCCAGCTGCTTCTCTGCCTGCCTTGGAGGGATATTGCACTCTTCAGTGGCCCTCCTGTGCCTCAATAAAGGCCTTTTTCCTTCTTTCCTGCCTTTGCTGCTCCACCATGCCAAGGAAAACCTATCACAAGTAAATATGCATTTCAAGTCTGTTTTGTGGGAAAGAAGAGAAGGCTATCATAAGCAAACGTGCTGTGTGTAACTGAGTCTCTTACCCATTGGGAACCGACCTGAGCCAGTTAACCTGAAGCAGCAGGTCGCTGGGGCAGAAAGTGTGTTTCTAGATTCAGGCTCAAGGCACTCAGAGCATCAGGAACAGGCTTGGTGGAGGAAATGAGTTAATTAAGTGGAGATGTTAGAGCTAACGACTCTCTTCAACTTCAATAATGTCCCTTCCTTTGGGGAAGCCACAGGATGTGGCACAGCACAAGGACAAGACACATGTCCACCGTCCTGGAGTCACTGATAGTTGGCCCTCAGCCCTATGCCCTGTGACTCCACCCCACACAGACCCCTTCCCAGCTTGACCCATGTCCCTGCCATGTCCCCAAAGACCTTCTTCCCTCTTCTTGGGATCCAGGATATGGAACTCTGAAATGCTCTCCTTCTGCTCTACTCTTCTGTTTTTGTCTGCCTGGGACCTGCGTGGTGGAGTACCCCCAAGGATACTCCCCCCGTCCTTCATTTCCTCTCTGACCTTGTCTAACTTCCTGTTTCATCCCTTGGGCCGCTCTCCCTCCTCCTGATCCTAGGAGGGGTGAGCTCCTGGAGTCCTCCTCCCCTTCCCTGCCTGCATGGTTCTGTGTGCTCTCTTTGGGTGATGCCGTTCTTCCCTCCCAGGGAGAGTGAGGCAAACATGCCTTTCCTCTGTCCCTGGCTGCTCTGCTGTGCTAGAGTGTCACATTCCCACTGCTGCCTGGCTGTGCAAAGGTGCCTAAGAATTAAACTTGGTTTACCTCCTAGTCCTACTCTTATTCCCACGAGGACCACCTGCACGGCTGTCCTTGAAAGAACAGCACTTGGCCCTTCCTTCATGTACTGATATGCACACAGCTGGGCAGGGCATTTCCTGATTCCCTCAACTGACTGTAAACAATGCAAATGGGTATAGCCAGAGGAGCTGATGTGTAGTCTTTGAAGCTAGGAGACAGGTTGGTGATACCCCACGTACAGCTCCTAAGCAATATGTGCAAGTTGGTCAAGTGAAATCACACTGTCAGCTGAGAATGAGCCTCCAGAAATGAGGCTGTGACTTCTCAGGGCATGGATTACACGTCAAAATTGAAGAACTGACCCCAGAACCTAGATACTACCCCAATCTGTGGTATGCAGATTATTCTTTCTGCTCATTTCTCTCCATCTCTCTGCACATTACAGAGGCGATTTCAGGCCTCCTACCTAGTGCAGCTCACAGCATTCACAGATGTCACTCATCCCCAAGCCACTCCTCTCTTCACAAATTCATAAAATCTGAGTTTAGTCCTAGGTAGGGCCTGGTTAACCATCATTGTTCTAGTTAGACTGAAGCCCCCCACGGGCTGCCCACAATTACAAATATGCCTCAGTGTCTGCTCTCACCATGCCTTGCACTGAAAGTGGCAGACCGGAATTAACTCACTAGAATTCCAGTAACTTTTCCACGGGATTACAAATGTGGTTTTTTCCGGGGCCACGACAAGGGCTTTCTACACTCCCGACCCATCTTGATGAGTATCAGCAATAAGACTCATCAGGTGCCTACCAGGTGTCAGTCACTGTTCTATGCGATTTAGATGTGATAACTCCATTCAGTGCTCACAGGGTTCTATGAGGAAGGTGTCATTACTTCCTTGGGTTTACAGATAAACACACTGAGATACACACAGAGGTCGTGTACGATTCCCAAAAGCCATTCCCAGCAGTGGAGGCCAGGCCTGGTCTCTTGACAGCCCCGCCGATGTACCCCACGACTTCGCTGCCTCTGCCCACCAGATTCCAATCTGCACTTTCTGCCAGGCGTCTCCCCCAGCTGGCTCTGCCCCACCCTCTTCCCATCCTCCTGCCTCTATCTAGGTCAGTTTTATCAACTTTCAGTTACCCCCAAGTCAACCCTTCTCTCTAGGGTGCTACCTGTACAATAGGAAACAAATGTTTTTTGCGTTTTAAAAAACCCTTTTGTTTTTTGATACAATAATAACACATGCCCATACAGTGGAAATTTTAAAATGTACTCAATAATATAGTGTCAAATATATTTTAAAAACTAAAGTTTTTGGATATAAGCATAACACATTGTGATATATCATAATCAGAAGATTTTTAAAAATGCAAAACAGAAACTAAAATTCCAAATCACAATTTTGTCTCTCGGTAGTGAAAACTGATGCTTGTGTCTTAGTTTTCTCTATGCATATTCACAAGTAATTTTTTAAAATTAAAAAATGGGATATTTACTTATTGCATTTTCTGTGATAAAACTGGTATTAGTATCATCTTTGATAAAAGTCGATTTTCAAAGGCAAACCTATAGTTCTGTATTAGTCTGCGCTTTCCTAATTACTAATGATACTGAATATTTTATATAGCAAATTCCTGGCTTACAAACTGCTCCCATCCCAAGAGAACTGTTCACAAGTTAGATTTGTTCACAAACTGACAGTGAATCTTACAGAGTTTGCCCATCAAAGTTCGCAACTCAAAAGTTCATAAGTTGGTGACTGAAATTCTTCAGGTACTTTGTGCATATTAAGTGATCCACCTTTCTCTAAATTCTCCAGTAAGTTTTTCAGACTTCCTTTTGGTTTGTTGGCTCTTCACACATTAAACTCACTGTTTTTTTCAGTATATTCTCATACATATTGTAGAAATTTTTCCTCAGTTGTTCCTTTGAGTCTGTGTGGTTTTTCTTCCTTTCTTGTTATTTTGTTTTGCCACATAAAATTATAATTTTTACGCAGTTATTTATCCCTTCTTCCCCTTCCCATCGTTTGGCTGTGGGTGGCCACCGCCGCCTCCTGAACCACAAGGTAAACAAGTCCTTGCCCTCAGTCCTCTCACATTGGGCTTATTTCTGGCTCTTTTCTTTATCCAAATTCTACTCTATTCATTAATCACATGAGCCGGGTGTGGTGGCGCACACCTCTAACTCGAGCACTCAGAGGCTGAGGCAGGAGGATCACTGTGAGTTTGAGACCACCCTGGGCTACAAAGTGAGCCAAAGGCCAGCCAGAACTGCATAGTGAAACCCTGCCTCAAAAAGACCAAAAAAAATCACAGCCAACTGCTCTCTGACCGCTGGTCCCATATTTAGAGTCTGATGCAGCGTAAAGAGTTCTACCAGTCCATGGAAAAGCTCATGGCGATCTTGTTGGAAGTAACGAGAGAGGGCAATTCTTTGTGTGCACAGAAGGGTGGGCGGCTGAGAATGGGATCAGGACACGGCATCCCTCCCAGGTCCTCACGGCAAGGGTCACCCACAGCTTTTGCATCCGCAGCGCCGCTGCCCTGCTTCCTGCCACTCTCTACGTGCTTCGTCCTCTCCACCATCTCTGGGCCTCCTCCTCTCTGCTGAAAGACAGCCTCCCGTGTGTCCCCAGAAAACAGCAAGCCAGCAACGGCTCCTCCCAGCCTGCGCCCCCATCACCCTCTCTCTCAGGGTACACACGACCCTCTCCTGCCTCGTGATTACCTGAGCTCCCGCAAATTCCTCCAGGGAAGAGATCCCCTCCTGTCCTACCAAACAGAGGGCTCTAGGCCATCTTACCAGGTCAGACTAATAAACGCCTGATCAGGAGGCCGAGGGAAGAGGGCTGCAAGTTGAAGGCCAGCCTGGGCAGCCTAGCAACTTACTGAGATCTTCTCTCAGAACATAAATGAATAAACATGGAAAGAGGTGGGGCTACAGCTCAATGCAAAGGCCTAGGTGCAACCCCAGTGCTGCCAAGAAAGAAAGAAAAGAAAAGCACCAGGTCAGCGCCGTGTGTGTGAGGCGCCAGGAGCCTTCCCGTGGATTCGCCAATGCTCAGCTCCCCCGTGAGCTCAATGCTGACCTCTGCCTTGGAGTCCAGGCAGAGTGGACACACCTGGGACTCAGGGTTTGTCCTCAGGTCCTTCCCTGGGCTGTAGGCACAATGCCGGAGCCCCCGTGCCTCCCGACCCAGGATGAGACCTGTGCATCGTCTCAGCTTTGCTAACGCCTGGTTTAATTTCCAGCACTCAGGCGGCTCAGCAGAGACGAGAAGCACAGGTGCGATCCCCGAGACACCAGACACCGAGCGCGTCCTACCTGGATGTTCACGTCCGCCCCGTTGTTCACCAGCAGCTCCAGGCAGAGGGCACCGTGGGTGGAGGCGGCTGCGAAGTGCAGCGGGGTGAAGCCGCTGTTGTTGGGCTGGTTCACGTTAGCGCCGTAGTCGATCAGCTCGCTCACCACGGTGTCCTGGCCATTGTAGCAGGCGATGTGCAGGGCTGTGTTCCCGTAGACGTTGATTTCGTCAATCTACAAAGCAGAGGCCACCAGGCCGCAAAGGTCACTGGAGCCAGCAGTGCACTCGGCTGCCACAAAAACCTGGTGGCTGTGGCTGGGGAAAGGACACCTTTCCCAGCGCCCATGCTCTCTCAGCCCCTGGGGTCATCCTGGGTGCGCTTCTTACCCAAGGTGCAGATTGGCCCAAGGTGGGTCCATACCACGGGGGCTGCGTTCTGGCCAGGGAAGCACAGAGGGGAAAAGGCAAAGCTGCTTCCAAAATGCCAGAAGGGAAGGCAATCAGGGCTAGCAGGGCCCAAACACAGGGCGGGGACACCATGACCAAGAAGAGGATGGGCATTGCAGGTGGCATGAGGGGCGGTGGCTGAGCCCATTCCTGTGTCATGCTCAGAGCCTTGTTTTACAGCAGCTGCATTCTGGCTTCAGGCCAGTGGCTGTGTCCTGAGCAGGCGTCAGTTCCTGGCTCCCTATGGCTCTCTGAGAGCCGTGTGCATGTAGGGGGTCACCTTCCTGGTCCCAGTGGGGCAGCTTGGTTTTCCCTCCCCAGGGCAGGGTGTTGGTGGTGCCGAGCTCTACACCACTCCCGTTCCTGCTGTGCTCCTGCATCAGCTGTGTCTCCCCAGCACCCGCGCCTTGGCTCTGCTGAAAGCCTCTAGGGCAAAGGCTGCTTCCCATAGAGGACCCAGAACCCTGGCCAGCCTTTGGAACGTGACTGGTACTATACCCTTCCAAAGAGAGACACACATCTGTGTTGCCATGGAAACTTGGCCAGCCCCTGATTTTCAACTAGTCCAAACTCCACTGCCCTTTATAAGTTGCTCAGGCAAATTCAGAAAGAAAGGATGCTAGAGAGCAAGTTCTCCCCTGCACTGAAATGCTGGACTCAATTTCAGGCAGCAGAACCCCCAGCCTCTCAGGCCACGAAGGGTACGTCCATGGCCGCTCACCTCTACTCCAAGGTTCAGGAGGTGTCTGACCACGTTGATCTGCCCATTGGAGGCCGCAGCATGGAGTGGGGTGTAGCCCTTCTTGTCCTTACAGGTCACTTCCGCACCGTGGTTAATGAGCAGGGCCACGACGTCCAGGTGGCCTTGACAGACAGAGCAGCAGAAAACATGGTGAACCTTCATGGGGCAGGTGGGCGGCTCCTTCACCCAAATGATCACGTTAGCTTTGAACTGCTGCCAGTTTCTGCTCAGCTACTGTCACGAAAAGCTGTCTTGTGACAAGCATGCAACATATATTTACTGAAGACCTACTACGTGCAGGACGGTATGTAAATCCTGCAGGAAGACAAACGCGATGCACACATGGGACTTGAAGGAGCTGCAGTGGAATGAGGTAGCCACCGTGTGCACAAGACCTGAGAGTCTGCTGCCTTTTAAAGGCGGTGTTAAAGTGACGCAGTGCTCTGAAACACCGCCATTCCTCCCCGAGAAGTCTAACGGAGTGACTTGGGATGGGAAAATCGACGGAAGGAAAAAGTCAGTCCCTCAGAATGAACCTGTATGATTGTTCTGTCACAGGACATTTCTGTTCTCCAGCTGATTTTTAATCCATAAAAACAACCTTTTCCTCTGGCTCGACATCAAAGCTTCGTGACCACTGCTCCACAGATGGTAAACTGAGGGTGGAAGACAGTTATTAACCCCAAGACTGAAATGTGTGCATGCGTGTGCACATGGGTGTGTGTCAGAGAAAGAAACAGTTTGGTCTTAACTTGTTTTATTAAAATTTGACTCTTTTTCTCCCAAGACTTGTGCACAGAAACAAATTTTTCCAATTACTAGTAGTGCTGTGTAAGGCTGCTTACTGGTCCTGGCTTTATATCTTTCCCAACCTGTAACCCAAAGGCTCATGTCATAATGACTTTACTTCTTTAGAGCCAGTACCCAGACGTTTTCCGTGTACATCAGCAAAGGATGAACGGAAACCCAGGCTCTGGTCGTACCCCACTTGTGCTCAGGGTATCTCTGCCTCAGCCTCTCCTGCCTGGCTCCCGCCCCTCCAGACCCCTACAGACATCTGAATCTGCCTCACCCAACCTGGAAATCCACGCTGCTTTGTTTTTAAATGCTAATGCTTGAAGCCCAAGAATCTATTCAGCCGTATCTATAGCCACGGAATTCATTTGATCCTTACCAAATCTGCTCTGTTTTACTTCCCACATTAATGTTAATTTATAAAATGATAAAAGGAGGGGCTGAGGATTTAGCTCAGTGGCATAAGTGCCTGCCTTGCAAGCGCACAGTCGTGAGTTCGATCCCTGGTACCAAAAAAAGAAAAAAAAGTGATAAAAGGCATACACATTTGTTACAAAGGCATAAACGTATTAGAAGGAAACCAAAATCACATAAAGTACCAGTTCATACAGATAATCAGTTAATGCTTCCGTATATAATATTTTCCAGATTTGTTTTTGCAGGATGAGAGATTGAACCGCGGCCTCTGCACTGAGTATATCACCAGCCCTTGACTTTTAATTTTTGAGACAGTGTCTCACTAAGCCACTAAGCTGCTAGGTTGGGCTCACGGTTGGATTTTCCTGCCTCAGCCTCCCAGAGGGCTAGCATTACAGGTTTATGCCACCACTCCTGGATTTAGATTTGTTTTGGTTTGCTTTTGGTTTTGTACCAGGAATCAAACTCAGGACCTCATGCTTGAAGGCAGACCCTGCACTGCTGAGCTGTATCCCCAGCCCACATTTGGTTTTATTGCACAGATTTTCTCCTATTAAAAGGAGAGCCATATTCTTCACTCTGCTTTACGCAGGAAACGTCACCCCTGTGGTTACTCTCATGCCCAGCACGCCGATCTGCCAGCATCCCCGGGACAGTCTCCTGCGTTCGGGTGCTTTCAGCCCAGCACTGACCACCCGTCTTCTTTGCTAAGGCGCAACGCTCCCCAGCGAGGAGCACCACAAAGGCGCCAGGGCCGCGATCCCTGTGTCTCCTCAAGACTCAGCTCTGCCAAGGTTCTCGTCTGTCAGTTGGTTTGTGCCAACCAAAGTGAAAAACCCCCGTGATGCAGCCTCCTCCCTTCACACCTCCTCCACGGAGGGTAAATAAACCCCTGGCTGAGGGGCAGCGACTCCAGCGCTCTGAGCAGGCCGCATCTTCACCGCGCTGAAGCTCATGCTTGACCCCAGGACTGTCCGAGAGAAAACCCACACGGCCAAGGGCACCCGTGGCTCCTGAGGTGGCGCCGGGAGCCGCTGCCCTCTTACCTATGTACGCTGCCCAGTGCAGCGCACGCCGGTCCTTCTTGTCGAATGCGTTAATGTTCGCCCCTTTGGCTAGGAGTAGATTGACCATCTGGAAGAAAACCAAGAGGAGATCAAGCAACACCTGTAAGGGTGAGGGCTCCCACCGCCTGGAGGTGGGCAGGGCCGGATCCGGAAGTCGGAAGGTGATGTCACAGCAAACCTGCTGCAGGCGGTGAAGGAAGAGACCGAAAGGACGGCGGCTTCTAAAATTCAGTACGAATCTAAACTTACAGAGGAAATGCGGGGGGACCCAAACAGAAAGTGACAGTGAGGCTGAACATGTGAGCACACCGATCCCATCATTCTGCCACTTTCCAAAGCAGCTCTGGGAGCCTGATGTCCTGAGTGTCTTTACAAGGTGTGAACAAAAACAGTGACTGCTGCTGCCGAGCGCCACCCGACAGATGGACAGCTCGTAAGAACAGACACTGTGTCCTCATCCACCTATTCACCAGACCTGGCACTGTGACTTCTGGACAAGATGACTTGAAAGGGAAACATTTTGCATCCTTTCAGGACAGTGTGGCAACCACAACAGCACAACTAATGACACTCAGGAGAGAGGATTTCTGGAGCTGGGCAGAAAGCAACAAGGGCCACGGATAAGTGTGTGTGAGGCGAGCGGCAGGGTTTGGAGGGGAAGTAAAGTCTCCCCTGTAGTGAGTATTTTAGAACTTTAGGGACTCACTGTAGCTCAGTCATACCTCATATCGGCCTCATGCTCTCTAAAACTCTTAGCAATAATAAACTGGGGTTCCCTGTGTGGCCAAAGGCCCCCGACAGTGAGAACACCCACCTCCACATGGCCATTCAGGGCTGCGTGGTGCAAGGCCGTGCGCCCGCCTCGGTCAGAGACGTTGACGCTGCTGAGCAGCGGGATGATCACTTCCGCACACTTGACGGCCTTGTTGGCCGCGGCCACGTGCAGGGGCGTCTGCCAGTTCTTGTCCCTCGCGTTGACATCGGCTGAGTGCTTGATCAGCACTTGCACAGCTTCCTACAACAAAGCAGAGTGTGCAGGTCACTACCTCTGGGTAGAAGATACTCCACTGGTTACGGGCACCGTCATGAGGAAGGGGGATGTCCTGTTGTCGTGGGCTGACTCCCGACAGATCAGTGAGGGCCACAGAGCAAGACAGAGTCTCATCTCCAAAATCAAGCATAGGTTCCCTTGCAAGCTACAAGGTATCCTTGGGTCAAATGAGAGCACTCACTGGGGAGCACACCAGGGCAAGCTACCGCAGAGCCAAGTGTGTGTCCCTATGCTATCCAACTCCCTAAGCTAAAAGACCTCCTGGGTCAACTTACCAACCTTCAGTTCTATCTGCCAACACCTCAGTCTCCTGTGACCCACACGCGGTCAAGGAAGATAACCCACCCGGTCCTATCACAGCTTGAAGCTATGACACTGTTCCATTTCCTCAGCCTTTTCCGTGGTACAGTGGGTAGGTCCCTCTGCCACTGTCGAGTTCCTTTAGCTTTACTGACTTCTCACTTTTGATTTGTCTTCTGCTGACCTGCTTAGCTCAACAGCCTCCCTAACCCATTACTCTCACCGCCGACTGTTCAATGGAATCACCTAGGGAGGCTCGGAAATTCAGACGCCTGGTTCCTCCTGGAGGGCGTCAGGGACCTTCTGTAAAGTGCCCCTCTGCTCAGTCGAGGACTGATGCAGCTCCTCTCAAGACGAGTGGCTGCTCAGTACTTCTGTGTCCAGAGACTTTCCTGGTGCTTCTGTACAGCCATTGTCAACACTGTGCCCATAACCAAAGAAAGGCTTCAGTATCACATTCTCTCCATCCTTCAGGGACCAAGAATTTACCCTTGGCCAACTCAGTGACACAGGACTGGACTGTCCAGTCTACTTTACTATACAGGCATATAAAAGTGCTCCAGGTAGATGACTTGAACTCAGCAAAACCAGGGATGTAAGTAATGAAACATAACGAATGTCACAAGAAGCAGTAGTGGCAATATATTAAGATGCATGGCTGCCTGGACAGCAGAATCAGAGCAAAAAGAAATTCACTGTGCAACTGAGAGGATACAGGGGTGATAATTAAGGATGCTCCATATGGATGTGCAAATAAAAGACTAGCCAATAGAGCCCACACAAGTAACGTAAGACACAAAAGGGACATCCTCACAGAGAATGACAATGCTATGGAATATTTCCATTTTTGAGTGAATATGTGTACACACATCACAATTTAAGTCCTGTTAAACTAAAGGGATCCTAAAATGCACACGATTCATGAAGGAAGCCACACATTGGTCACGCATAGGTCACAGAGCCAAAGTTCTTATCTCCTACGAGAGCCTGCTGTCATCCACATTACGGGGTAAAAACAGTGAGAGTTTTAATCAGACATGACAAGAACTTGGCCAGAGCTTAGGATGGGCATCAGAAGACTTTTAGCTGCATGCTCATGGAAGACTATAAGTGAAAGCCTCACCCCAAGCACATGAGCCTGGACATATTCGCCAGTTCATACATATAATCGATGCATAAGATGCATGCTTTGAGAATGTGTGCCCCTAAAATTTTGGAGGTGTATGATCCAAAATGATGGGGACAGCTCTCTTAAAGTAAGGCCACAAAACATGGGACAATGTCCTTTTCACACACTCCAGAAAAACAACCGTGCATGTGGTCACTTGAGTATGTTCTTGCTTCATCATAATTATGCAAGCTCATGACAGACTAATGAAACCAAATGTACGAGATCATTCCATAAATTTATATTCCTTGGAGATAAGATCAACAACCTCATGAGAAATTGATAGTTGCTTTGCCCTGCTTTTAAATGAATGCACAGGAATAATTTGCAGGTCACACAAAGCAACATGCCAAGCAAAGATAGCATATATTTACATGCCACGCACAGGTTACCTACAAATACTTCCAAAGTTGGGAGGGGAATCTGTATTCTTTAACAACCAAACCTCCAGAGCCACTGTGACCATCGGAAAGCTGAGGTCTGAAAGCTGTGGCCCCACCATGGAGGCCGCAGGAAACTTGCAGAGCCTGAAATACCGCTGTCTGGTCTTTGACAGAAAACCTTGGCAGACCCCTGGTCTGGTCCCCATTTCACACAAATTAGAAATTATGAAATCTGTCTAAAATAGAATTTTATCATTCATCTGCAAAATACTACTTATAACCAAGCCACCTTCTAAGAAGGGCAGATGCTGGCTGAGCCAGGGCCTCACTGTGTTAGGAAGGTCAGCAGTGCCCGTGGGGCAGGGTGCAGAGCTGTGCTGCACTGCATGATGGGATAAAGGACAGTGGACCACGGCAGACAGGAAGGGGTGAGGACAGAGAGAGAGAAGACCAGGGCCCGCACACCAGGGTGGAGATGCAGAGGGAATGGAAGGTGACACCAACGGATCTCACACGGGAGGAGCAGGTTTGTGGAGCCAGGCAAGTAGCAACCAGACTCCAAAACTTCTCTGAAAGCATAGAGGGAACACGAGGCTCTGCGCACGGTGAGTGCCTGGGCAGCCCTGTCTGTTGAGAAGCAACTCGATGGGAGCAAGACCAAACACTGGTAGAGGAAAAGGTCCAAGTTTACTATCATGGGGGCTAAGAAGTGGTCAGGGCTGCTCTTCCCTGTGTGACCGTGTGACCGGCAGGCAGTCCCCAAGGGAATGCAGACGTCACATCAATCACATCCCATCAGGATGCGAAGCAGAGCCCGACTCACTCCTCGGCTTCTGAAAATGTTTCTACTTTTCCACGCTTTCTTTTGCTTCTCTGTTTGTGTAGTGAGTGGTACAGTTTTCGTGTTCCCAGTGAGAAAGCTCTCCAAGGGACATTCAGCACAGGGAGAAAGTCTTACTTCCTGTCCACAGATTCACTTTCCGAAGCATGAAGATGCAGGAATTTAAGGTGACAGTGGGGCTGGGTCTACAGACACAGAGTGCCCGGGCGGGGGCAGCCTTTGGGGTCCGCCTGGCCTCTTTTCCCAGGCCCGAGCTTGCCTGTCTGTGCTGATCTTTCCCCACAGCCCAGCGCAAGGCATTCTGTCATCAGGGCTTCTCAGTCACCCACACTAGGAAACTCGGAAGGTTTGGTCTGCCAAAATGTGGTGACACAGTTCATAGACATTTTATGTAATACTTAGGCCATGTGCCAAAGTTTTGATAAAAAGACGACTTCCTTTTTTTAAAACTGCATTCCTTGTTGCAGAATTTGAATCATGGAAGCTTTCAGACTTCGTTTCAGATGGGAATAATTTTATGACTAGGACATTAGTGATTTCTTTTTTAAAAATCAAAGAAGTGTTTCCTCTTCCGTATCACGTGTTGGCTACAAGTGAGCGCCCAGGAGGCGGCTGTGACACACAGGCACAGGCTAAGAGGAAGTCCTGTGGGAGGAGGGACGCGGAGAAGCTCCGTCAGCAGCGGCTGTGCAGGCGAAGGACCAACGCTCAGCAACGATTCTCTCATCACCACGAACCAACCCTTCTGGAAGATACGTAGGAAATATGGAGAGAGGACCAAGAGACGGAGGAGGGGAGGGAGGCTGGGAGGGGATGGAAGAACTGCAACCAGCTCGCCACGATGGTGTCATCGCTGTGTGCCCAAAACACGGGCTCATAAAACTAAAGGTAACAAAGAAGACATAATAGAAATTTACCTTGATTATCTTATTAAATCTGACAGGCGCAAAATGATTGCATCTCCCTAACTTGCTGAATGGCCACTCTTATCCCACAGGTAGCACAAAAGCTCGGGCCCACACTAGCGTGTGCCAGGCATGAACGGCTCCTCCGAAGCCTTTGTTTCTTGGTGAACTAAACAGGCGAGGTCCTGCGCTCTCAGCCTGGTTCACGTCCAGGGCTGGGCTGTGCACCTCATTGGATGACACCCTCGTCGCAGGCTGCCCCAGTAGGTGCAGAAGCAGTGGACATGCGGGGGAGCCGTCATGCACATCACATGGGCAGGAACGGGAGGTGGCATTAAGTCACGTGACTTCCGCCTTCTCTGAGTGTCTTTTTTTGTAAAAGCCACTCCACGCTGGTAATTCAGTGTGGACACACACACTGGGGCACACAGGAAAGATGAGAAGAAATAGATTCCACAAGTCCTAAAACAATCATCAGTATTTTGCTTTTACTCACAAGTGTGTGTTGCATTTGAGTTAGCCAGTTACTCATGGCAAAGCAGTGCTGACAGCTGTGTACGTACATCTTGCAAGCCCAAGCGATGTCAAACTTTGCCGGTTTTAAGTGCTTTTGTCCAGGGTCTAAGTCTTAGACAACTTTCTGCACACTCCACACAATTTGGTGGGCTCCCTACACATAGTATATATTTCATAAAATTTGGGTAGAATAAATAGACTGCTATGATCACCAGCAAATTCCATCAGTAGTAATCTACAAATATTAATAGGACACTTACTGTGGTGTGGGCTGAGGCTGACCCAAGCTCTGAAGGCTTTTACAGTATTACTGTAATCATGTGAGGCTTCCATCTGTATTGATTATAGCAATTTCATATTCACCCTACAAGAACTGTGTCAGCTGGTGCTGAACCAATATGTTCAATGAATGGGATTGTTCCTCTAGAAGTATCCCCATCAAACTAAACTTGCTCTTAATTATTATAACTATCATAGAGCACACTTATTTTAAGAACTAGTAGTACAAAGGTGGTCCCCTGGAGACCTGAGGCAGGAGAGAATTGTTCTCAAAGTACTGGCTTTAAACACTAGGAAATGCAGACCCCAGAGGAACCCTGATCTTCAGCCTCAGGGCTCCAAGTGCGGTGCTTGGACCACAGGCATCAGAATGTTGCTTTTAAGTTGCAGGTTTCCGGGTCCAGCCACGGGACCCCTCAGACTCACAGGAGAAAGATCCTAGAGCAAGGTACCTTATACACAGATATTACAGTCAGGGGTTGTAAGGAGAACAATTACATACAGGCCGCAGAATTTATATTATTATTTTATGACAGTCATCCAGAGGTAAATACAAGAAATGCAGGAAATCGGTGAATATACTAGCAACCTAGAAAATTCAGCTGAGGGCCTGGGTCCCACAGTGATGTTCTGCATGAGTCCAGGTGAAGACCTAGAGCCTGCCACAATGCCTCCCACGAGTCCAACTGGGGCTCAGAACCCACAATAAGGACTCATACAAGTCTGTTTCATGGATCTGTGCTGGGAAGGCCCTAAAGTCATCAGTGGAAGCTAGAAAATCTGTGCCAGCGGGGTGAAGGAGCTGTGCTGGTAGGTTGAGGGTTCTACACTGGAGCCAAGAAGTGATGCTCAAAATAAGCACTAGGGCTCCCCTGAAAAGTTCTACAGCCATCCTCAGTGACCAGGAGGTCCCAGGCTCCTCTGGTGATGAGAACAGCTGAGTTCGTATCAGGAAGCCAGCATGACAAGCTTCTGGAGATTGAAGAACACACATCTTCCCCTCCAGAACCAGAAGTGATGCTCCAAGTAAGGACCAGAGCTCCCCCTAAGTGAACCCCAGCCACTCTCAGCGACAACAAGGTCCCAAGCTCCTTTGATAACAGCTAAGTTCATATCAGGAAGCCAGCATGACAAGCTTCTGGAGATTGAAGAACATACATCTTCCCTCCAGAACCAGGAAGTGATGCTCCAAGTAAGGACCAGAGCTCCCCCTAAGTGAACCCCAGCCACTCTCAGCAACAACAAGGTCCCGAGCTCCTCTGATAACAGCTGAGTTCATATCAGGAAGCCAGCATGACAAGCTCCTCCAGGAGAACCCACAGCTCCAAACAATAAGACCACTTAGGAGGACCCACAATGCTAACTTTTTTGCTCCACATCTCTTTTTATGCTGGCAACTTTCCTCAGATGGGCTGTCTACAGTCAGCACCATGCTGACTGAATTCAAAACCATCAGTTTTTAACCCACAACATCCTACGCCTGAGGACCGCTTACCAACTTCTAACTAATAAATTACAGAAGGCCTGCTTTCCTCCTGTTCCAGGTAAGGCTGTGGGGTAGATGCAAAGATCTTTCCATAGTAACCAAAATAATTCAGAGTGGTCAGTGACACTCTAATCTCCTGTATACTGTTTCCAATTCCTGTCTCCTAGTAGCCCACAGCACTGACAAAGTTTTTTAGAGGAGGAAGAGAATCCTAAGTTTTAAAACTTAAGCTGTGAATTAGAACACTTGTCCTGCTCAGCTCTGGGAAGGATCCTTATTCCAGCTGGGAATTCTATCTGCACAGAAGCCAAAACACATGCGTTTTACTGGCTGACAGTCACTGAAGGGACAAAAAGCAGGAGGACAGAGCGGCTAGCGACAGGCTCTCTGGTCATGCCCCACTGGCTGGGACATCTCTGGATCCTTCCTTACCTCTCTGAGGGCCTGTTTCCTAAATTAGGGCCACCAGCAGTGCATGGCAAAGGGAGGCTTGGAGATTAAAATGGAACAGTGCACAGGGTGTTTGTCCATCACACGCCACACGCCACATGCCACCTGCTTTGTCACCACTCCTGACACTCTTAGAGGGACACCGTGTCCCCGTGCTACACCCCAAATGCACAGGCAACCGAGCGGGGACTTCGGCAATTCTCCTTCAGAGCTACCCTCAGCTCTCTGCAGGGGAAGGAGCCCATGAGAAAGGCCAGGCACAGCTGCCCCCCGCACGCTGCACCCTCCCTCGGGTCCCACTCGCCCATGGGACTCAGTGAACATGTGCTCAGCTTCCGGGAGCATTCGCTGGGCTCCCGGGTTCACACACACTTAGTGCCTTTCCCTACAACTGCTCGTTTTGTTGTTGTTGTTGCTGTTGGTTTTTTGTTTTGGTTTTTTCCCAAGAAACAGAAGCAAAGGAGCAACGAGAATAAGCCAGGCAGGGAGACGAGGGGGATCATTCTCAGCAACATGTGCCCGCCGCTGACGGCCCTGGCAATCATGGGAGGCAGGGAGGCGGTGCAGACTGCGGTTTAGAACCTTCCCGATGAAGAATGGCTTTCAATACACATGTCACTCTGAGCACAGAGGTGCAGCTGTCACGCTGAAACCAGATGTCCCCTTTGGCCAAGGCCAACAGCCAAGTGCCAAGCACCAGCCAAACCTCCTCTGCCCTTTCCCCTTCCTTCCATCCACTCATCAGGGAAAACATAAACCAGTGGCCAAAGGACCAAATTCAAAAGGATATGGAAGTCTGGGTGTGTGGGTCCCCCAGTTCAGTGCTCACTGCAGGGCAGCTCTGGTGGCAGACATAGAGAGGCCAGCTTTCCACCTTGGTGGGATGGGTTGTGACACAAGGACACTCCCTTTCAGAGCTTATCAACAGGACAGCTCCGGGTTGTTTGCATTCTGTCCTTCCTGACAGACACCTGCAGGGATGTTTCCCCTGGGAAACCTGCAGAGGGAGCTGGTGACCCGGAGAAGCAGCCACCGCTTTCCTCAGACGTGACAGCCTATCACAGAGTGGACGGGTCAAACCCACTAGGCACAAGAGTGGGCTGGTGGTTGGTGGAGACAGGCGCTCTAGGGATGGAAGCTTTCGTAACTACAGCTAAGAAAGGTTTAGGTCACCTGGGAAAGAGCACCGATGTGACCTTTACTTACTGAAATTGCCCCCTGTGTTCTCAACTAGTCTACATCCTGCGGGTGAGACCACAGATATGATTCCTCCTTGTAGCTTCATCAGCAAGCACAGCGATTTTTTTAAAAACTAAAACAAATATGGTAAAAGGGAAACAAGCCAACTCCCATGTATTTGAGATACTGAAAAGAAATAACCAACGATCAAAAGGTCTTAAAATTGAGACCATGAAGTACCTCCCTAGATGAGGTGAGCTCATGATGTGGTCCTGCCAACTGAAGCCCACTGCCCCAGCTGTCCAGATAACACAGTAAGGCAATGTGGGCCCCCACGAAGATGCCGAACCCCCCAGCATCCAAGCGAGGGGATTTAGAGTAATTTACCTCCCTTGGTCCATGTGGACCATTCAGAAGGACAACAACACAGACTTCTTGAAAACTCTCAAGTTACACAGCCCAGCAAGGAAGAAAATGGACACTAAGCCATCATCTACAAAGATATTTTGCACAAAGTATATTTACAAAGTAGCTACCAGTGAGGAAAAGCTGGTCCCCAGCTAGCCATTAACACAAGCCTATTCCTTCCCTTGCTCCCCAGCGGGTCTGGAGGACACTCCCTTCTCCAAAGCAGAGCTTCATGGGGTACAGTCACCCACAAAGGCCTCCAGAGCGAGCATCCTGCATCCCTGCATGGTGGGCATCTCCTTCACCAGGCTGGCCCCACCAGGGCTCCCTGCCCCCACCGCATTCCTTCTGGGCCCAGAACCAGATCACATGCCCTGTCTGGGAACTATACAGATAATTGTAATCTATGAGCTTCCTGCACCTGCACCTCCAGCATTTGAAATTGGGTTATTTCTCAAGTATCAGGCCCATTCTGTTTCTGCAATGTACCAGGGGTACATTGGGGTACATCAAAGAACAAAACACAGATCCCCACCTTCACGGAGCTTATGTTCTAGGGTTGTGTTTTCGAGACTCTACACTGAAAAAAATATGACCAGTTTCTCAGACCCTGCCTCTCCTGCTCTTGGTCTTCTCAGTCAGTATGGTGGCTAAGCTTAACTGCATCAACTTTACGGGCTTGGGGGCCACCCCGGGGATTAGCACAGCATAGTCTGGGTGGGTCATGGAGGCCCAGCTCTGGACCGCCCATCTGGTTCCTCACCCCTTCCTCTCTAGTGCTGTCCCCTGCTCTGTGCCTGGCTGCCATGAACTAAGCAATGTTATTCTACCCGTCCCTTCCACCGAGAGGCTCCTCCCTTGGAGCCAGCCACGGACTGAATCCCCTGAAATTAAATTAAACCTCTGCTCCTTTAAGTGTCACGCACCATGCCAACTGATTAACACAGTTTACGGTGTCAGCACTTATCCACTGGCTTCTCTTCCATTTCAGCCCCACAAGGAACTGGTCCTGTCGGGTTACCTCTAATTATCTCCCGGCTCCACACCCTTGGGTCTCTTTGGCCCTGGACTGGAACCCCTGCCTGGAACTCCTCTCTTCCATGCGGCCACCACACTGCTTTCCGAATTGCTGTTCTGAGCGAGCGGCTCCCAGCTGTGACCATTCCCCACGGCTCCCTGCTACCCGGCTCAGACCCCACTGTCTGACCACAGACCCTCACCAACGTCTGTGTGCCAAGTCACCATCGTGCCCTGTTGTGCCGCAGCCCTTCCTCCTCTCCTGGCCTGCGACATCCCCACTCGTCCTTTAAGGACCAGATCACAAGACATCTTTTCCTGGAGGACTGCCTGTACGCTTGGAGCTGCCTTCTCCTCTTGAGTATACTCTGATCTTGTGCGATCTATCTCCTGTCTTCCTCCCCCTCCAGCCTGAGGGGCGGCTGAGGTCAAGGACCATACTATTCAGCTGGGACCTTCCCTCCACAGCTCCCCAGGCCCATGTGCACGGACAGAAGCCGCTCAGATAGGCAGCTGTACATTTTTGGTAACCTGGCACTAGACCTGAAAGCTCTTGCTCACTAGTGGGGTCCCCGGTCCACTGGGAAGAGTTCTTTCTCTGGGGACAGCAGGTATCACATGAAGTAAGGTCATCACTCACCTCACTCCTGGAAGCCACGGCCCGGTGCAGAGGGGTCAGCCACATGTTGTCCTTGGCATTGACACGAGCTCCTGGAACCAAACAGCACAGGTTTTTAAGCTTTTGAAAAAGGCTGCAAAAGGGTAAAAGGGAGCTAGTTTAAGGCACTGACTAAAAGGAAATAGCAAATCACAAAACTTACACTATCTTTGTCTTTAACTGAAGAACAATTACCACCAACAGCATGAACCACAGAAAACAAGAACAGAGTTCCTAAAACAATGAGAGAGAGAGAGAGAGAGACAGAGACAGAGACACAGAGACAGAGACAGAGACACAGAGACAGGCAGAGAACGAACTACCCCCTCCAACCCCATTCTGATGTCACTGCTTTGAGGTGGCGTTGGGCACAAGGGTTCTTCAGATGCATCTAAGCACCCCAGGCAGTGTCGAGAGCCTGATTAATCAAGGTTAAAATCATTCCAAAGCTGTTTCCACCGAGGCCCGCGTTCTAAGTGGCTTCAATCCTGTTGCTCAATATGGAGCACCCTGAAATGCCATTTGCATAGTGTGGGTGTGCAAACGGCAGGTATCACTGGCCCCAGAGCAGAAAGCCATGGGCCAAATGCTTGGAGGAAGATAAACTCACTCTTACAAGGACAGCAGGACCCTCAGTCAGTGGACCCAGAGCCAAACTCTGATTTCGGCACCACTGGTCCTATGAATTCATGTCGCATCCCTCTGTAGCTATGACTCAGATTTCAGAGGGAATGAGAGGCGTATCATTTGTCCTATGAAGTGGGAGCGAGCCAAGCAGTTTACAAACACAAATGCCACCATCTAGACCTTGTACAAACCAGAATCTTTCTGAGAACAACACTTGCATGCTAAAGAACACGGGATAAGGAAACCCATGTGATTAACACAGAAAAACTACTAAATTTTAAAACAAATTTATCACTACTAAAAACAAATTCCAGATGTCCTCTCTCTATCCTGATTCCAAAAGAGACAGCCAGGAAGGTATTCAAAGCCCACCTTTCCGGCTTAGAAATAAACAGAATTTACCCCCTTAGGCCCTTGCATTTCCTGTTTCTGCATTCTGAAAACTCACCTTCCCACTATTGTAAAGCCTTTGCTTGGGTCATAAATGTGTACGTGTTGAAATTTCCCGTCTCTCTAGGAAGCCAAGTGTCTGGCGGGTACTAGTTCCTATTTAGGCTGTTTCTTGGGTACTCATGTCCCAAACACACTTGAGGCTTCACGCAGTCCTGAAGGGCTGGATTCAGGCCCGATATTCATAGTCCTTTTGCCAAAGTACACGTTGTGCTTTGCATTTTTTGGTACACTCAAAAAGCTGATGCAAGACGACAGCCAAATGGCAAGACACATGTGGAAAGATCTGCTTCATCAGGGAGCAGCGACAGAGAGCAACACTACAGACCATTTCACACCACCAAAGTGGCGCAAAGGATAAAATGTGACAATGCCCAGAGTTGGCCTGGGTTTGGAACCATGGGCAGGCTTACGTGAGGTTAGCAGGAGTGTGATCGGGTAAAGCCCCTCTGAAGGAGATGAGAAGGCGTCAGCCTAGAGCGCTGATGATGTGCATGCCATCACCTCACCCTTCCACCGCATCACACACCCCAGCTAAACTGACACACGGGAAAGAATGTCACTGCACATGCTCACAGGGGCAGGAAACTGGGCTCTCCCTGCTGGTAAGGGGAAATGCATTCCTGGCAGGTGTGCACAGTGCAAGGCGACATGGTCACAAACGGCCTGAAGTTCTACGTACAAATAGAAGCGCCTAGAAGTATAATGGTGAGGGAACAAATCAAATTGCAGGACACCTAAGATGTAACAGCAGCTATATAATGCTTTCACAAAAAATCTTTTTAGATACATTGTTTGTGGATGTACAGGCATCAAATGAAAATAAAACCATGGCCCAGGAGGACACATACCAGTTCTGGGCAGCGCTTGCTTCTGAGGAGGAAGGGGTGGGAGAAGAGATGAACCAAACACACTCAGAGGGCTATGAAGATGGCCCTTCCCTTACAAGGGGCAGGCCGCGTGGGCTGCAGAGTCTCCCCGAGGCTCCTGCCAGGCCAGCCACCTCGAGGCATCTGCTGGCCTTGGCTGTCCAGGCTGATGGGAGGGGACACGTCAGGTCAGGGCTGCACTGCTTGCTGCTCCTCCTGCCTTCACGTCGCTCTCTGTCTTCCCTCTCCACGAACCACCAGGGACCCAGCCGGCACAGAGGCCAGGTGAGCACACCCACGAAAAGGCCCTGCGGGGACTGCAGGAGAGAGGAGCGCTCCACCCTGGGGCCCTGCTGTCCTCTAGCACACACTTAGGGCCAAAGCGCTGCACCTGAGGGGCTGCCTCAGCAGCCAGCCACTGGGGGCCTGCGGAGGGCAGGTGCATGTGAGCTGCGTGGCACACACAGGGTGCAGCCAGTGCTCCGGCCGTGGTGAGTTCTCCTCCTTCTCATTTTTCCTCTCTTCCTCTCCTCCTCCTCTTTCCTCTTCCTCCTTGTTCTCTTTCTTGCTCTTTCCTCATTTCTGTCTTTTTGGTGTGTGCATTAAAATACTCTAAAACATCTTTCTACAGAAAATAAGTCCAAGTGACTGTCCAGACTAAGGTTAGGCCATGAGTTCAGTGTGGAAGTTTCCAGGTGCTCTTACATCTTCATATTGAAATATAGGCCCAAGAACATCCAGAGAACTAAATTAGGTCAGCGCAATATTGTTTGTATATTTAAAGTATTGGACAATAATTTTATAAAACATAGCACTGTTTTCATGCAAATTGTTTGCTATTGCACTAATGTGCTGAATTCCTTTGTTTTAATTAACATGCATGTCATGCCTACATTGGCACAGAATGCGTTAGTTCCTTTTAATCATAAAACATGTTCAAAAATAGATGTGTTTTTTGACATTTCCTCTATCAATGGTGTTTTATTTCCAAAATTTCTCTATCCAAACAATGACTAAATAATGAAAATCCACAAAACGGCTTCTGCAGATGTGTGAGTAATTACCAAGGAGCAACAATTTTAGAAGGACCTGTATGTCACAGGTAGAGTACACTTTTGGTTTGCTGTTATTGTGGGACGGGGGACTGAGCCAAGGACTTTCTCACTGAGCTACATCCCCAGCCACTTTTTAAATTGAGATAGAGTTTCCCAGATCAGTCTCAAACTTGGATTTCTCCTGCATCAGTTTTCAGGGTGTTAGATACATAGAGGTACCACCACCTCCTGTTGTATTGGGCTTTCACACATGCCTTCGACCTCCAAAGAGTGCTAATTTATAAGCTCACCATGTATAAGACGGCTTAGATTCCCCGCATTATCACACTTGATATCACAAGGCAATTAAGTAAGACTTGGAATCAATAATACAATATTATGCACTTGAAAATCCATCGAGAGGGTAAATGGGTCTCGTACTGTGCTCTCACCCCCACAACCAAGGGAGACAAGGAGGCTCTGGAGATGGTAGATCTGTCACTTGGTAGTACTGGTTTCATGACAGAAGGCACATCTCCAAATTTATCCGTCTGTGCGTCCCACATATCCCACCAGTATGTGCAGTAACTGTGTATCGCTTCCACTCAAATGAAGCAGTTTAAGAAGTAAATACAGATGTCAGAGGGGAAGCAATGGCCGCTCAGTTCTGTGTTTTCCTAAGAATAAGATTGGGCATCTCCCACGGGTTTGTTTACCACCCATTTGTAATTCACTTTCTGAGAATTACTTGTTCAGATTCTTTGCTAACTTCCCCCATTCTCCTATTTTGTAATTTGTACGCTCCCATTATTATTCCTTTTACTATCTTATATAATCAGAACATTCTTGTTCCTATGTAGATCCACATGTGATTTTCAGTATTAAAAATCTTCCAACGAGGACACTGGGCCCAAGTTTGCAGAGCCCCTATGTGATATGTCTGGGGTGCAAGGGTATCAGCACTCCTGGGGTGCAGCCTCAGAGCTGACGTACATAGAAGCAAAAAGACGGACCAAAAGGAAACAGGGAGAATTTTAGCATGAAAATTGCACCTCTTAAGAAAAACTGCAGCTTCAGGGAAACAAAAGCTGTACTGTGCGGAGCCCTTGAAGCTGGAGACTGATCACAGGTGTGGGGCTAGAGCAAGGCCAGCCCTGAAAACACAGAGCCCAGAACAGGCCAGGCAAACAAGCTGCTCCAGCTCCACGAAGGCCAGGGGCCCGGGCCAGCCAGGAGGAGGAGCTGCTAGGCAGCGGGTGACACTGATGTCCTCCTCCTGAGAGCTGCAGTGGTGGGGCAGCTCCTTCCCCACGAGGAGAGTAAAGGCTCCCCCCAACCTCTTTTATTTTTTCATTCTTATTTATCATTTCATCCTTCACCCCAAGTACCTCAAGAGAAGCATGGATCATGGCACTTTTTTTTCCCTTCCAGGAAAAGTTGCTAAGGTCTTAAGGACCCTGTGCCCTGCACTTGGGGTCAGCCCTTTGCCCCGTACCCTGTGCCCTGCACCTGGGGACAGCCCTTTGCCCCGTCCCCTGTGCCCTGCACCTGGGGACAGCCCTTTGCCCCGTCCCCTGTGCCCTGCACCTGGGGTCAGCCCTTTGCCCCGTCCCCTGTGCCCTGCACCTGGGGTCAGCCCTTTGCCCCGTCCCCTGTGCCCTGCACCTGGGGTCAGCCCTTTGCCCCGTCCCCTGTGCCCTGCACCTGGGGTCAGCCCTTTGCCCCGTCCCCTGTGCCCTGCACCTGGGGACAGCCCTTTGCCCCGTCCCCTGTGCCCTGCACCTGGGGTCAGCCCTTTGCCCCGTCCCCTGTGCCCTGCACCTGGGGACAGCCCTTTGCCCCGTCCCCTGTGCCCTGCACCTGGGGACAGCCCTTTGCCCCGTCCCCTGTGCCCTGCACCTGGGGACAGCCCTTTGCCCCGTCCCCTGTGCCCTGCACCTGGGGACAGCCCTTTGCCTCGTCCCCTGTGCCCTGCACCTGGGGTCAGCCCTTTGCCCCGTCCCCTGTGCCCTGCACCTGGGGTCAGCCCTTTGCCCCGTCCCCTGTGCCCTGCACCTGGGGACAGCCCTTTGA